TACCACCCCACAACCACCACCATCATCGCTGTTGCTACCCTACCACCACCACCACTGTCCCATCATCACCCCTACGACCACTATTCTTATGACCATAACCACTACCACCACCACTGTAGTCATCCCATCACCACCACCGTCGCCACCCCATCACCATCACCATTACTACCACCACGACCACCACGATCATCGCCACCGTCCCACCACCACCTTATAACCCCCACCCCATCGCAACTGTCCCATCACCATCGCCACTCACCACTGATTGCTATCACCGTCATTCACCGCCACTATCCACCACCATCGTCATTTCATTCTTATATTTATTACCATTACCNACTTATTACCATCATCATCTCATTCTTATATTTATTATCATTACCACCATCATCCCTATTACCACCGTTGGCCACTGTCAACATCCATCACCACCGTTACCACAATCCACTACCACTGCTCACATTCATTACAATCGGTGCTTAAATTCATTTCTCATTCCTCTATGTTCGTGATTTAATTTTTCGTGTGAATACAAATATGTTTATTGTTAACAATTTTTTTTTATTACTCTGTGTCTTTAGGCACAAAAAATAACAAGTATATATAATAAAGTATAATATAATCCAAATCTTAAAAGATAAACAAAATAACTTTTACTTTTTGCAGTTGAGATATCTTTAAATTTTACTTTAAAATTAATCCGATGGTTAATATTAACACTCTAAATTTAATAAAAAAAAATAAGACGCTAAGGGTGTATTTGAGGTGATTTTTTAAAAATATTTATAGGACTTATAGTTTTTTATAAATACTTAAAAAAAAAATAAAGTTTGGAGCCGCCCCACCATCCTCTACCGTCCCATCACTATCACCACTACAACCAACACTGTCAACACCACAACTACCCCCCACCACTACTACCGCTGCCACCCCCACCATTACCTTTGTTATAACAACCACTACCACCTTCATCGCTGCCACCCCATCATAACCACTACACCCATCGCACCACCACTTCTGCCATAACAACCACCATCCCACCACCACCATCATCACCATTTTCACCACTGCCACCATCGCCGCCACCTTACCACCACCGCCACCACAATAACCACCATCACCATTGTCGCCACTAGCACCATTGTTGCTACCCCCACCACCACCACTACCACCCCACAACCACCACCATCATCGCTGTTGCTACCCTACCACCACCACCACTGTCCCATCATCACCCCTACGACCACTATTCTTATGACCATAACCACTACCACCACCACTGTAGTCATCCCATCACCACCACCGTCGCCACCCCATCACCATCACCATTACTACCACCACGACCACCACGATCATCGCCACCGTCCCACCACCACCTTATAACCCCCACCCCATCGCAACTGTCCCATCACCATCGCCACTCACCACTGATTGCTATCACCGTCATTCACCGCCACTATCCACCACCATCGTCATTTCATTCTTATATTTATTACCATTACCATCATCATTCTACTACCACCGTCATCCACCGTTAGCACTAACCCCCACCATTATTGCCTACCATCACTCATCACCACCTCGTCGTCGCCAATCATTATTGACAACTACTGTCACCCATCACCACCACTCATCACATTGTCATCCACAAGCACCCGTCTTTGCCCACCACCACAACTCACCACTGTTGCCGCCTCACCACCACCACTGTCAACCATCATCATCATCGCCCACCACCTCCCACACCCACCACTACCACTGTCATCACGCATGACTGTCATTACCACCATTGTCACCCAAAATTCATCACCACCATCACCGTTGCCACCCACGGCTGCCACCACCACAATCACCGTCTCCCACTACAACCATCACTGTCTCCCACCACTACCATTGTTGCCCACCATCACTTACCCCACCACAATTGGTGCTTAAATTCTTTTATTTTTTCTATGTTTGAAATTTAATTTTGGATGTGAATATAAATATATTTATTATTAACAATTTTTTTTATTGTACTTCCAGACACTTATAATAACTAGTATATATATATAATGAATTTTGATAGGACATAATTCAATTGGCCAATTAGCGTTAGACACTTGGACAAGAATGTGATTGACCTCCACACACATTTTCTTGTGAGCAATCAAAGTCTGAGGGATGAACTTGCTCATCAAGGGTTTAGAAACCCCAGGGCTAAAAGGCGCTTGGTCCTAATGACATGTCACCTTTCCCTTTGCTATTATTGGGCCCACTGACACTAGTCAGATCTAAGGGTGTTCATTCTACTCTACGGGTAGAAAATATGTTCTTCCGTCTTCCTACTCGATACTTTGCGAAAGAATTTTTTTTTGGCCTACCCTACCTGACAGGTGTGGTATTCCTACCCGATTAATCGGGTAGGAAGTCGGGTAAACATTTTTGTAACAATTAATTTTTGGATAATTTTAACAATTTAATTAAATAACATGCACCAATTTAACATCATAATAAATCAATTAACACTAAAATCTAAAATAATTGCAACAAGAATTATAATAAAACACAAAAAAGTATGAATATCAATCCACCATAATTGTTACACAAATACAATAACAATTAATTTAAATTTAAACTTTAAACCATATGAAATACATTAAAATCATAATTGTTTTGCTAGGGTTTAGGATTTTTTTTAATTTATATATATATATTAAAAAATTATTACGGGTAGGGTAGGGTAGGAATGCGGAAATAGATGACTATTCTGCATTCCTACCTGAAAATTGTCAGAAGACCAAAAACTCTTCCGCATTCCTATTCGATTTTTGCGGCTAATCGTTCAATAAAGTAGAATAGGATCGGTTAGGATAGGAACTTGCCACGGGTCAAAAATTTGAACACCTTTAGTCAAATCAGTTGATACAATAGGAGAAAGGGAATACTAACTGCGCCACCTTCACCCCGTAGGTTTCAACACAAAATCCCGTGAAAGACATACATACAGGCATAACCTTTATATGCTTGGATTCATCATTCAGAAGTTTGACACCGAGCAAGGTTTTCATTCAATAATTCACCCCGATCAAACGCAAGCTATCCTCAAGACTATTAAATGTGTGAGGCGAAGCCGCCCCACAATAAGATGTGAGCATTTTCTAGGGGGAAAACTGTTGACACGGGGGCCTTGCTGTTCAGGTGGACCAGTATGAGAGTTCCACTCCATAAAAATTGTAAACCATGTCGGTTAGACCACATCATGGTTGGATCTCAAGTACGCATGTGTAACGAAACACAGCACTCACTGTGGCACCTTGTATTATCTCTCTCACTGAGATTGACTTAAGCATCGGAAAGAATACATCAAAGGATCCTCCGGCGCTCCACTGTGAAAATCATCCAGGCGTTGCTGTCTTATTTGTTGTCAAAAATTATCCCATAGAGATCTCACTTAAATCCATGATAGATTATTTGCTATTGAGTCAAATTAAGTGAAAGTATAACAATATTGTTAAGAAATTGCTAATTGCTATGAGTTCATATTGTAAAATCTCAACTTGACCCATGGTAGTCCAAAAGCAAGAAGAAAGTTGAACTCCAACCTGCAAAGTCAAAACTGAAGACTTTCCAAGATTCTTCCGAGCTTAGGAAAATGTATATGATTTAAAAATAATAAGTTACCCTTGCTATTTTTGTTTTGGTTAATAAAATGGATTTAGGATGTTTCCGTACATGACTCTTGAGTTTTTATTGAAAATCTTTTAAAACTTCAAATATTGTTTTGAAAAATGTAAAATAAGTCACGGGGACAGATCCTGGTTGGGCAATGCCCCTTGGTGTTCAACTGGATTAGTTTTTGTTTAGTTTTAGCCTTAAAAACCAATAAGAAATGTCTGATGCTCGTTGACTTATGGCTTGAGCAGTCTCTTAGAGACTAAGGAAAAAAATGGAGAAAAGTTGAAAAGTTGGACAGAGACCACCGCTCGCTGACCGCTTGAGCGGCCTTACTACCACTCAAGCAGTCCCTTCTTATTCTAGTGACTATTGCCCTCTAACTGCTCTCTCACAGATTGAGCAGTGCTTTGTGAATCTAATTCTCTTTGACTCAAACTAACTTTATTTACGGGCCTATGTATATGAGCATGTCTTTTCTTATAGAGTAAGACTTTAAAACTTAAAATTTATTATATCTAACATCTAGAGGACCAATAACAACCTAGCTCCTAAGCATCCAAAGATCAAAATCCACCTAGATTGATCTCATGCTATACCTTCAAATTTGAAGAATAAAGAAATCTTTTAGAACCACTAAACCTATAGTGGTGTGAAGAAGAAGATTTTGGGAGGAGTACTTGAAGATTAGGATAAGTTGGATTATGAAACTCAATTCGCTTTAGTGAAACTAGTACTTAAGACCTCGCTGAAGTGAATCTGAAAGGAAGATTTAAGGAAAAAATTGTTTAACCACGGACTTGATTGAAGTATAAATATTTGACCTTATAATCAATTTTGAGTATAATGGATTAAATTAGGTGGACTATACGTAATTTTTTGTAAAAGGATTTCCATGTTGCTTTATGTTGTGGATGTCGTTTTTTGCTTTACTTCACACACACACTTGTAATGCCTCACACACTTTGTGTTTGATCTTATATTTAAATGTCTAAATTTATATTTTGATCAAATTGTGGTTGTTTAAAATTGGTGAAAGAATTTTGGAGGGATAAGGATAATAAATTTACATTGAATTGTGGTTGATTGTTGAATTAGGTATTCTTGCATTCTTTCGTTCGTTTAAAGGTTTGTGTATTAAAGGGGGTTAATTAAAATAAAATAAAATAATTAATTTATAATTAAAATAATTAAGTCTAATTAAACTAACATTTCGCAAATAGTGTGAAAGACCTATTTACCCCTCTCACATTCCAAAGATACTTGGTAAAGTATGACAGACTGCCGTTGGTATATTGGAGAACTAATGTGGTATATCCAATCCAATTCATTTTTGTTGCCACGTGGCAGAAACCCATTCACCCTCTCAAATTTCTTCGGCCGTTCATGGCTACAGGCCATGAAAGCAATCAAAGTCTCACAGTGTGTGTGTGTGTGTGAGAGAGAGAGAGAGAGAGAGCCCAACTCTCTTAAAATGGCTGGGATTGGTGCTGGCTGTTATTTGAACCACTCTCTTGGGAGGTAATGTTCATTCAATCTCTTCTTAAACTTTAATTTTATTATCAAAGAATGTTTGTTTGCTGGGAAAACATAGGGAAGTATGAAGGAAAATAGAATACGAAATAGCAAAACAACCAAAAAAATTGTTTCATGCGCTGTTCTGGTTTCTGACAATTTGCAAATAGGATTATTTGGCTTTCTTGAGGAAGTCTCAGTGAACCAAATGGAATTATTTATCAAGTAAATCTAACTATATTATTGTTAGCATTACTTTGAAACTTTCAGCAAAGAAGCCACAGCTTTGAATTATGTATGAGAATTGTTTGTCTTTATGTTTCCATGTCGCATTTGGAACTATTTGGTTTTCCAAAGAGCTCTATACGGAGTTTAGTTGTGTTTATGTTTGAATTTTGAAAAAAAAAACATAATTCCTTGGAAATCCTTAGAGGTTTCTGAAAGAATGTCATTTCAGGGTAATTATCAGAAATAATCTCTTATCACCACCCATTGTTTTTCATTTTGATCTTGGTATTTTTTGTAATGACATATTTGTACATTATGCATCTCTGCATTTTTTATTTTTTATGTTTCGAAAGTGTACTGAAATTTCTGCATTTAATCAGCATTAGAAACTGAAATTGATTGCTTATACTAATGAGAGTAAGAGATTCAATGTGTTTTTCAGAAATTTGGGGGCATCTTTGTTAGTATTCGATATTCATCGAGGAGGGGCAGTGGCAGGAAAACCATTTCGTCGTAGAAATTTAGTAATCAAAGCAGAAGTAAATTTTGTGAATGCTGAAGAAGCAAAGAAACTTATAGCAGAAGGATATGCAATTCTGGATGTGCGTGACAAAACACAGTATAATCGAGCACATATTAAAGACTGCCATCATGTGCCCCTTTTTATTGAGAACCAGGATAATGACCTTGGTAAAAATCTTGTTCCCTTCTTAGTAAATTGTTTCATAGTGTCCCCCTGATGTTAGTTTTGCATTTCACCTAGTAGCGCGTGTTTTCAATGGAGTATCACTTAAATTTCTTGGGCGCAATTTTTGCTGGTAAATTTATTTTTGCAGGCACAATAATAAAGAGAACTGTGCACAATAATTTTTCTGGTTTATTCTTTGGGTTGGCATTTACCAAACCCAATCCCAATTTTGTGCAATCTGTAAAGAGCCAGTTTTCACCTGAAAGCAAGCTATTACTTGTATGCCAGGAAGGACTGAGGTTAGTTTTTTATATTTCAGATGTTGCTAATTTTCATAATGTTCATTGACAAAGGTGCCAATAGCATAGCAAGTAGAAGTCTCTAGTTGTCATACCACAAAGGATTGTTGGTTGGGGGAGGGGGGTGTCTGTAACACGGAGAAAATTACCCTGCAACGTGTAGTCCAGCCCTTAGACCAGGAAAAAAAAGGTTAACTGATAATTTTCAACAAAATAAGTGTAACAAACTTATTGGGTGGGATATTGTCTCAATAGTGACTCAGTGAGCTTGATTTCTTTGGAAAACTATGCAAGACCAAATTGAAACTGATAAAACTAGAATTCCAGTTCATTGGTATTCTGATAAGATGAACTAACTGTGTGAGGTCATCTTTTCAAGTTCTAAGGTGGAAGTATTTACCATACTGCAAACATCATGACACGACAGTAAAATGTGTAGAGAGATTTTATACATATATTCTTGGGTGTTAGATCACTAGAATTTTTCTAAAGGATTTACAATGGCCTTTGACACAACTCTCCATCGAGCTTTATATTTCAAACGAAAAGCAGATATGACATCGAGTTTAAAATGAATAGAATTGGTAATTTATAGTCTTATGCATTTGCTAGTGACATAGGTTTCTGCTCAACCATATGTGACATCCAGACATGACCCTAGGGGTGTTTATTTTACTGCTCCTTTCTCATCTGAAGAAGTATACTTAGTGTGTGACTTTGATATAACATCAAGCACAAGTTATCATCCGAAGATGAAGCCCTAAGTTAAAAATACTCATACCTAGAGTTATCATATGTACTTGTGTGAGAAATCCGACTCTGTTTGTTTACATTAGCTGTTGCTTAAATCAAGGGACAAGGGTTTCGGCCTTGCACAGTGTAAATAAGATAAATGCTTAATGCTTATAAATTTCAAACATCAAAATGTTTATATTGAACACCTCTGACTAGATTTCTTCATAATTCAAAATGGCCTCCTTATCATAATTGCCTTATAAAAAAAAAGTTAACAAGTTTCCTTAACAGAAACAAAGTGGTCTATAATCTATTTATAGACCCAAAATACTCTGTTTTAATACAATAGGTTTTCTAATTAGTCTTTTACTTGAAGTGGAATTCCAAGACATCTACCTTTCTACATCCCTAAGGAGAACAAATTTCAAATCAGTTGGAGTGGAATACACAACACCCACAACGGATAGATTTTATGTTAATAGGTGGATTGTTGAGTTGGGTTGATTTCTTTTTTTTGATGACGCTTTACCTCACATCTTTGTCATTTTTGTGTTATGTTGATGCCATTTGACAGGATTATTATTCTTTTTATGCTTTAAGGTCTGCAGCTGCTTCTAACAGGTTAGAGGAAGCTGGTTACCAGAATATAGCATGCGTGACCTCGGGGCTTCAATCTGTGAAACCAGGTTAAAATCTAACACTCTTGTATTGGATGAAGCTCAACTGCAGGCATCTCAGCATGAACATGAAGATTATTATTGCAAACATTGATTGATTGCAGGAATGTTTGATTCTGTTGGTTCCACTGAGCTGCAAAATGCAGGCAAGGCTGGTTTAATTACAGTGCAAGGCAAGATCTCAGCTGTCCTGGGAACTGTACTTATCTGTATGTTATTCGAAACTTACTCTTGGACTAGTTCTGAAATTTTTACTGGTGTATTATTGAATCATTATATGAATATGATTGAATTACCAGGTGCATATCTTTTCATAACTTTCTTCCCAGAGCAAGCTGAGAAGCTCCTTCAAATGGCCCCCTCCAGCTAGCACATGGAAGACCCCGAATTTTGGGGTTGCTCTTTTTGTCCCTGTCATGTTGTTTGAAGCATTGGACATTAAGAGCAGAAAACCCCAGTGGAATGGAGAGAGAAAGTACCAGAAAATCTGTAAATGGTATTGTAATTTGTTGCAACTAGTGTAATGTAACTCATATTGGAAATTTTTTCAGTTTGCCTGCTACTGTTGGCATACTCATCGAAGCCGTGAAATTGGAATGTGTGATGGTGTCAAATATCGTGCATAATTTATGTTGAATTTTTCTTCCGTAAAGGCTATATTGTAATAGAGGATAGGCTTATTTGCTGCATTCATTACAGTCATGAGCTAGTTTTTGACCAAATGTAATAGAATGTAGTTCTCCTTACAAGCTTGTAAGAGCAATAGGTATGAACCCCGAGTATTTTCTCAAGTTATATCAAAGCCTAATATGCCTTTGTTATCTAAAGGTATACCAGAACATTATTCAATTTGCAGAAGGCAAGCACGAATGGTAATAACAAAAGTCATAAGCCTTTCAATTTACTGTCTTTGCTTGAGTACAATGCTGGTCTACTTTTGGCGTAAGATTTGAACAGCAATGACTTCCATTGATGTCATCTGAGACTTCTGAGTAAACGAAAAACATCATAGGTGTTGAATTTATCATCTTGCAAAGTTGAAACTTTCACATGGGCTTGCATTCCCTCTTGCTGAAGATAGTTAAAACTTATTCTGAGAAATCCTTCTCCTTACTAGAAGGAGACCTATCTAATGGTCACATGAATACCTGTCTCCAACGATCGATGGTCCCATCCTGATACTGTTCACTATTCAGGGAATATTAGTCTTAGCTAATCGTAATTTCTTTTGTCAAAGTCGTAGCATGTGTTAAGTATTGACAGGTATCTTAAAGAGTAGAAAGGATTAGTTGAAGCTAGAAGAAGTGTTGGACTTTTAAAAGTTAATGAAAACATTTAGAGTATTGGTAGTTGGTAGCCACTTGTCCATAGGCGGGTCAATGGATTAGATTTTGGATTCATATCTAATTAGTCAAATATGAATTGATAATCTTGATCTACAATTCAAATCGAATCCATTTATCTCATATCCTAGGATCCGATTGTGATTCAACCCAAATACATTCACATATATTCATATACATGCACTAAAATTGAGTGATTACTTGATCAAGTTAAGAAAATTCAGATGTAATTTGCTGAAATTATTCTCTAACTGAGTTTTACAGACCAAATTTTCATTTTTGTTAGTGGATTTAGATGTAGACTGTGATCAAAAAATCTACCGGATATGCAGATTGGATTTGAATTCCGATCCAAAATTTGTAATCAGATTTCCATCACTTGAAATCCAATCAGGGCATACTTTGAAAATTGTGATGCATACTTTGAAAATTGTAAGGACTTTATTGGTGAAAGAGAACAAATACAAACCATGTCTTGATCACAGTGACAATTATACACAAGGCCCTGTTCCTAATAAACAACTCCACAACACACCGGAACAAAGACACCTATCAACATTGCAATACAAGGAAAAAACTGAATCAATATGAAATGTTATAAGCAGCTAATCCCTGATGAAGATGAAAAATACTTCTCGATTTGTGCATGTCATCCTTGCCCAAAGGCATATTTATCTTCTCTATATTGTTCCAATGTTATTGAATGTCTCCAAAGGAACTGAAGTTGATTAAGATGAATACCAAGTTGGGATCCAAACTCACAAAGGGAAGTGCTCCAAATTTGCCTCAACTCTGATTTTATAGGGGCACTTCATATCTAGAAGGGTGTTGAAATTATTGTCATCAAAATATCTAATTTTTCAAGCAATGAAAGTGAAAGCCACAAAAGAAAGGTCTCAGAATTGAAGGCAATGATGGAACACCACTTCATACTAGCCTAGTTGTTGTTTCTCAAATAGAGCTGTAATAATCATGACTTCCTTATTTCCATGGTTGTGGTATTCGGACTCTTGAATCCTCCATTTGAAATAGATCAGTAAAACATTCCCAGAAACAATCACTGAAGTAGGAAATTTTTGCCGGCCCTCCCTTGGTGATTGACCATCTTGAATTGCTACCTTGCCAATGCAAAATCTTCAAACCAATTTAGTATGCTGAATGGCTTTCTTTTATGCGTTTGTCTAATTTCATGGGACTGTGCATTCCTTAGTCTCCAGAATCTACTCAAGTCCAACTTGTCTTGCTTTATTCTTCTATCTTCGTAAAATAGTATCTGATCATTTGAACTTACATATTTAAATTGAGAGTATTGATAATGGCAGGCCAAGAGGCATTTCTGTGGAACCAAAACAGTGCCAATCAAGCAAGCAACATCAGTGGCATGATGAACCATGATTTGGAGACACATTGTACTGCAATCCCATTTGAAGCCACTGCTCAATCTTCTTCAAGTGGTCGGAATCAATGGTTACAATCCATAATGGATGATGGAGGTAATATCAATGCTACTCTATCTGCTACACCACGAATACAAAAAGTTCCACCAGCACTGCGAATGAACACAGATAACGGGAAATACTATGAACCCCATTTGGTTTCATTTGGTCCATACCACCACGGCAAAGCTGAGCTTGAGCCAGTTGAAAAATCTAAGGCTACAATCGTGAGACAGTTTGTTCTAGGGAGTGGCAAACCGATAGATGATTTCTACAACAAGGTTGTGGAGTTGGCTGACAATGCTAGGAACTGCTATCTTGAAGGCTCAACAGATGCCTTCACTCATGAAGAATTTGCGCAGATGCTGTTCCTCGATGGTTGTTTCATTCTCTGTGTGATTGAATGCATAGCATATGGCAATGTGGATCTTGCTAAAATAATAATTGGTCATCTAGGCCTCTTTACATCGAGTCGTGTTTTGGCAGAAATGTTCTTATTGGAAAATCAGCTTCCATTCCTCGTTCTATGGAACTTGGCGAAAATAAAATTCCAAGGAGATGCAGGGGAGCAAATGATTGATACATTCATTTATCATGTCACCTCAACCATCCCACCGAGTCAAATTAGGTCGAAGATAGCACAAGGTGAAGTCAAGAAACCCCTTCATCTCCTTGAACTCATGAGGTTAAAACTACTATGCCAATATGACTATCAACAGGCTGAGCTCAGCAAATTTGAACTGATCAGGCCAAGGAAGAACTATCCTGGCACTCTGAGGGATTATTCTCATTCATTCCGTTCAGTCATGGAACTCAAGGCAAAGGGAATTCATGTCAAGCCTAGCAGCACTGGCTACTTCACAGGCATCAACTTCAAATCAAACTACATCTCTGGAGAGCTTAAACTTCCTCCTATCATGATTACCCCTTTTAGCAAGCATTTATTTTTGAACTTGATTGCCTATGAAATGTGCCCGGATACTCCCAATGACTTGGGTGTCACCTTTTATATCCATTTTATGAAGTCCCTCATTGATCACCCTGATGATGTAAAGGAGTTGCGATCACAGGGCATATTACACAACTTTCTTGGCAGCGATGAAGAAATAGNCCGATGATATAAAGGAGTTGCGATCACACGGCATATTACACAACTTTCTTGGCAGCGATGAAGAAGTAGCCAGAACTTTCCGGGAGGTGGAAACTCCACTGATGTTGCACATTGACACATATGAAGATGTTAAGCAGTGCATTCAAAAGCACTATAATAACAAGATGAGGACTTACATGGCTGAAATGATCCACAACCATTTTAGTAATCCTTGGACAGTTGTTGCTTTCCTGACTGCAATTTTTCTCATTGCCTTGAGTGTTATCCAGGCTTACTTTACCATGTTCCCTCTACCTGACAAGTGCATGGAATCCATCTGTAATCTCATGAAAAATAAGCATGGCTGAATCTATTTCCATCTTCAGTTCCACTTCTAATATTCTCACAGTCATGGTTTCTCTTGTTGGGTATCTTGGTGGTTGGTCGATAACATGAATTCCATTCCTCATGGTTATGGAAACATTCCCTCTGGTAGCTATGCAACTATGTTGGTTTTTCTTTTATTTTTTTTAACTTGTATCATGTTGAAATCAACATTGTTTTACATATCAAAGCAGTACATTGCTAATGGGGAATCAGAATTTTCCAACACAAACTGGGCAGCTTACAATGCAATATGAACCCGCCATTGTGCTGAAATTATTTGGGCTGGAGGAAGAAGATGCTCTTAGCATAGTTCTCTTGCAAATGAAGTATAATGGATATTTGATGTCTCAATCTTGAGTGCAAACTATGGAAAACCAAATCGGAAAAGATAAAACTTGGACTCCAACTGACTGATATTACGATCGGAGATCGTTTGTTTCAAGTTTTAAATTGGCAATGTTTATCTATAAAGCAAACAAAGTGTAAGTTGAAGGCATTAAATCAGTATAGGAATGTTATAACTCTCCACCTAGCTCTGAACTTGAAAATGAAAAGGACAGATGATATCGAGTTTGAGAATAATTTGTAATTCTTTGTCTTATGGATTTATAATAGGCTTCGTCATCATCCTGAGAATATATTAGTGTGCATTACTTTGGCATAACTGATATAAGCAATCTATAACATCAAGCAGAAGATAAAACCCCAAGTAAAAATGAACCACTCATACCTAAAATCATCCTATGTATTTGCGTGAGACATCTGACTCTGTTCCTTTAAATTATGGGAGGAGAATTGAGGACTATATACAACATAAGATTATAGTTGATGTAGCTCATCAAGCACTTGGCCTCCACAAAAAATACAAACGCTTATAATCGTGTTATGATTTGCGTGAAGGAGAGAGTTTCCTATGCCATGTTTATTAATCTCAAACATCAGTTGGAAAAGCATTGCAAATGTTTATATTGACATCTCTAATCAGATTGTTACTAGAGTCAAAACTACCTCCTGTTTATAACTGCCTCATAAAGAAAAAAAAAGTGAATTTCTAACACCATATGTTTGATAATGAGAGGATTTGACTATTTCCAGACTTGTTAACCTATATGATTTAATTTGTTTCCTGATTTTCCTTTTATTTTTTCTTTTCTTCTGATAGATTTAATGTGAAAGGATGAAATGTCGAGTTGGGTTGATTTACTTTCGTTTGATCACTCTTTATCTCACATCTTAGTCATTTTTGTCTTATGTTGATACCATTTGACAGGATTATCATTCTTTTCATGCTTTAAGGTCTGCAGCAGCTTCCAACAAGTTACCACAATATAGCATTTATAACATCAGGGCTTTAATCAGTAAAACCAAGTTAAAATCTAACACACTTCTAATGTTTGATTCTGTTGGTTCCACAGGGCTGCAAAATGCAGACAAGGCTACTTTAGTTACAGTGCAAGGCAAGATCTCTGCTGTCCTAGGAACTGTACTTACCTATAAGTTATTCAAAACTTACTCTTGAAATTACTCTGAAATCTTTCCAGACATATTATGTGATCACTATGTTTATGTGATTGAACTACCGGGTGCATCAAAGCAAGCAGATAAGCCCTTTCAAATGGTTGCCACCGGCTAGCACTCAGAAGAACCCAAATTATGGAGTTGCTCTTTTGTGTCCATGTCATGTAAGTTGAAGGAACTATGTCCATTGGCCATTAAGGACAAGAATTCCCCAGTGGAATGGAGAGAGTAAGTACAGGAAGATCTGTCAATGGTAATGTAATTTTTCAGTATGCATTCTACCGTTGTCATACTCATCAAAGTTGTGAAATTGGACTGTGGACTGGTCCCAAATAGCATGCATAATTGTGTTGAATATTTCCTTCTGCCATAAAGACTATGCTAGTTTTTGATCAGATGTTATAGAATACAGTTCTCCTTAAAATAGGGAATGAACCCCAAGTATTGTCCCTAATTATTTATATGCCTTTTGTTATCTTGAAGGTGTACCAGAATTTTTTTCAATTTGAGCAAGTTTTTCTGGATTTGAGAAGTTTGCACAGCTTGGTTTTCACTAGTTACAGGGGAAAGGGACATTTAGCGACCTCTTAGGTTGAACATTGGTAGCTAGGGAGGTAACACCGCTATTCAAGGCTAAAACAGAGGCGTTACGTTACTTCAGTTGTTTCATTATTGAATCCACTCGTTATCTCTACATGTAATTGAGTTTAGGTTTAATTTCTTATCTTATTTTTTTCATCCTTATTTATGATAGTGATATTAGAAAAATTATAATGAGTTTCTTTGGTCCCAAAAAGAATTATGAACAATAAAAAAAAAGATAATAAAAAGAAAATGTTGGACAAAGGATGCTGGCCCTACTGGTGTTGACCTTGTGGATTCGAACCTTTATTTGAAGGAAGCCCCCTCACCACACTCTACGACATCTTCTGATTCTTCATTTGATATATTAATGAGGGATCGCACAATTATGTGATAATACGCCATTAGAATTGGTAATTTGCTCCAAAAATAGAATGTTTCACTTCTTTGGTTTTTAAAAGAAAATTAGATTTTTTTTAAAAAAAAAAATAAGAATTGGAAGTATTACAGTTTAATCTTACTACCTAAGGTGTAATCCCTTTTAAAAAGCTTACGGTTCGAAACTCGTTAGACAAGATATGTGTGTATGGCAAAAAAATGTTAATTCTCACCATGTATGACACTTGATCGATTCTTAATTTTTTTACAACGCCTCTCATTTTTCTTCCGGTAGAAATAGATTGAGCAAACACATCAATACATGTATTAAAAATATTATAAGTTGAATGGTACTGCCATCCCGTATACGTTATATCACCACTTCCACATAAGAATTCACCACAACCAATGAAATACATTTTTACTAAATGAAAAACTTGAAACGATCAATCAATATATTTCAAGCAAATCGTGTAATTACACTTTGCACATTTGTATAGTGGCTCTTCATCATCAAACATGTGACCACAACTATAATCTCTAGCCCTCTTCACCCTTTGAGTAAATGTGAGAGGATGTGGGTGATCTTTCACTTGGTGGGTGGCTCCAAATTTGACGTATGAATATTTATCCTGAACGCATTCAGGATAAAAAGATTGGTCACAATCACGACAACGATAGATCTAACGCCCTAACTTTATTTCTATCTCACAAATTTCGCAGTAGTATTCATCAGGATGATCTTTGATAGGGGGATAACTTAGGATGAGAGGATGTGCATCCCATCTGTGCCTTAGGGTACGCGGTAAAAGAGCACAATGGAAGCATATACCGAAATTGCACTTCTCACATTTGTATCCAATCTTATTGCACATGACATGACATGCCCTGCACTCAATACCTAAACGTCTGATTTGAACCAAAGGATACTTGTGAGTTTCATGCAGAATAACATCAGGTAGGAAAACACATTTGAGATGAAGTGAGCCGTAAAGAGGAATTTTGTATGAGAATCCATTGCCATATAAATCGCAAGATGTGCATTGGAAGAGATAATGAAGTTTTTGTCCTGAGAGGAGGAACAGGTTCTGGAACGGGGACTGATTGTGATTTGGCCGTACTAACTCAGCTGGTAAGTTGGCACAACTTAAATGGATAAAGTGGTTGCATTGAACAGTAAAATGAAAGCAAGATCGGTTGCATGCAGATGTCTTATGATGATATTGTGTCGTGCTTGATCATCTCCATGTTATTTTGCCCATGCCTGTCATAAAGTATTAGCTCATGATCCTTATGGCTCTTATGTTTGATCTTTATTTCTCTCTTAATCTCCTCATCCTCGTGACGACTAATCTGTTGAGCTAGATGTTAAGGGAGAACCACAAAATCATCAGTCAATGGAAAGTGTAGCAAATTGGGGTGGAGATGCTCGTCGTCTTCATTCTCACCTTCACCGCCTCTGAAACCACAAATTTTACTCAGCGATAATAAAAACAATTGTACGCAAAGATTTTTTGTAGCAAGAGTGAGAACTCACCTCACAGGCTTTGACCGGGAAATTGAGCATCTGACATGGGTTTGATAGTGGCACAGAGCACAATAATATAGCCAATTCTCTTTCGTTAGGTCGTCATTACAGATCTTGCAGTCCTCCTGGTTTTCTGACGTTCCTGTAATGATCTTGCAGTCCTCCTGGTTTTCCAAGGGAACATCAGATGAATATGGCTTGACAAGAGTGAGAGGGTGATGTTGATCGTCAAACTGGATGGTGAAAAGAAATGAAACACCACTTTTGTGGATCCAAAAGGGACAGGTGTGACATATGTAGGATGATGAGTCTTTATCTTCTTCTTTGTCACAAGCATTACAATAAAACGAAGCTGGCCTGAATATGAAGGTTAATGGATGCTCATGAATTTTAGGTGTAATTCTACGTTCCTCCAAGAAACATGGTAAGCAAATATAAAATTTACAAAGCTTACACCTATAGAAGAAACCATCCCTATGTCGTCTCCGAGATTCTCTACAGAGACTACATACGTAAGAGTAATCCTCTTCACAAAAAAATAGTTGAATGAAATAATTATGTTATAAAAAATAATTTATTGATATTTATATGAGTATATACAGATCATGGGAAAGAAAAGAATTTTTTTTAGTGATATCGGTAACTAAGTATACAATTCTTTTTATGCAAACTAGTTAATGTGTCGGTGAGAGAGAGAGAGAGAGATTTATTTGTAGAATTTAATCGTATTGCGATATTTGATATTTTAGTGATTTGACAATTGTAAAGAGATTGTTGGGCCTCTTGGTTTTACATATGATTATGTCTTTTATGTCTAAAATATTTTTTGGGCCAAAATATTAGGTGAAGAACACAAACATAATTGGGGGCCACTTTTTTTGTGAGACCCTAGGCGGTTGTTTAGTTGGCCTACCTATTGGGTCAGCCCTATCGAGAAGTGTAACGGGCGAGGTCAGAGATCTCATGATTCCACTACTGACGGCGTATTCTGGTGATCTCTAGGCCCTCTCTTTATCTCCACCTTTTTTTTTAAATAGCAAAAAAAAAAAACTACTATCTAGATCTAAACGTCAATTTGGTTTATCTTTATTTTGGNTCTTTGTCACAAGCATTACAATAAAACGAAGCTGGCCTGAATATGAAGGTTAATGGATGCTCATGAATTTTAGGTGTAATTCTACGTTCCTCCAAGAAACATGGTAAGCAAATATAAAATTTACAAAGCTTACACCTATAGAAGAAACCATCCCTATGTCGTCTCCGAGATTCTCTACAGAGACTACATACGTAAGAGTAATCCTCTTCACAAAAAAATAGTTGAATGAAATAATTATGTTATAAAAAATAATTTATTGATATTTATATGAGTATATACAGATCATGGGAAAGAAAAGAATTTTTTTTAGTGATATCGGTAACTAAGTATACAATTCTTTTTATGCAAACTAGTTAATGTGTCGGTGAGAGAGAGAGAGAGAGATTTATTTGTAGAATTTAATCGTATTGCGATATTTGATATTTTAGTGATTTGACAATTGTAAAGAGATTGTTGGGCCTCTTGGTTTTACATATGATTATGTCTTTTATGTCTAAAATATTTTTTGGGCCAAAATATTAGGTGAAGAACACAAACATAATTGGGGGCCACTTTTTTTGTGAGACCCTAGGCGGTTGTTTAGTTGGCCTACCTATTGGGTCAGCGCTATCGAGAAGTGTAACGGGCGAGGTCAGAGATCTCATGATTCCACCACTGACGGCGTATTCTGGTGATCTCTAGGCCCTCTCCTTATCTCCACCCTTTTTTTTTAAATAGCAAAAAAAAAAACTACTATCTAGATCTAAACGTCAATTTGGTTTATCTTTATTTTGGATTTAGGTAAAATTGGTTCTATCATAAAAAAAAAAAAAAAAAAAACCGAAGAATGAGTCTAGTAGAGATATATTTATTTATCAGTGGCATATTGATAGCTTTATGGATTTTCTCCACATTATTCTTATACATCACATCAATTTTTCATAAAGCAATTCTCTTGTAACTTAATTTAAGGATCCATTAAAGTTATTAAATTAACACTAAATCCCTACAGAAAAGAATAAAGTCCATTATTAATAATGTCATTTGTGCATAATTCAAGGATCTAATATGTTATACCGGACCAACGATCTTTTGGTTCAATGATACTCTTTACCTTGTGAAGGTTTTGTCTTATCAAGGTCAAGGGTTCAAGTCCCTCTCCCCTTCTCTCCTCCCCCCAAAAAAACAAAAAAATATTTTTACCGGGACTAATTGCTAATCCAACAATACTTTAAGGGCATGTTTGTTTGAAGAATAATGGTGGTATAACGTAATGGGATTAGGGATAATAGTACGCGGGGCCCAGGAATACATTGTTTATTTGCCTTTTTTCGTGTGATACTATTTTTCAGGTTGCAATACTGATCCACTAGCTACAGTTCACCAAAACCCATATACATGGGCTTATATAATACCACCGAGGAGGTGGTGTTATTTTTTGGGTTTTGGTCACCAATGGTATTAGGGAGATTAATGATTGAATTGCCCTTTGACTTTTAATGTTATTACGGGATTTTGGTGTTATTTTTTGGGTTTTGGTCACCAATGGTATTAGGGAGATTAATGATTGAATTGTCCTTTGACTTTTAATGTTATTATGAGATTTTGACTACCAACGGTTTTTTATTTTATTAATTTTTTAAAAAAAATTCTGATTTTCAATTCTTTCCTTATATTATGTTTAAGCGTATGGTGTCACTTACTTGTTTTTTTTTTTTTTTTTAATTTTGTTAATTTTTTTATAAAAACTTTTGATTTTGATTTTTTTTCTTGTAATATGTTTAAGAGTACGATGTTGTAGACATTAAAAATTTTAAAAATTAATGTCTATAATTGGGCTCAAATCAATTAGATAAATAAAATTGAGTTAGAACTAAATTTCATATGCCCAAATGATATAAGTTTAAATTTAATTAAATAAGCTTGAGTTGGACCCAAATTTCACAACCCAAATAATACAAGCCCAAATATAATTAACGGGGCTTGTTAAATTAAATGGACTTAAATTCCATGTGCACAAATTAAACAAACCTTTAAAAGGTAAAAAAAAGTGGGACTTAAATTCAATAAATTAACTAAAGCCCACAAATTTATGGGTAGTTCATTACCTAAAGTCCATATAAGGGTATTAAAGTAAAATACCTTTATATAAATAACTACTCCTACCACTATAAACAGAGATCTAGGATAAGCCAAAAANCAATAAATTAACTAAAGCCCACAAATTTATGGGTAGTTCATTACCTAAAGTCCATATAAGGGTATTAAAGTAAAATACTTTTATATAAATAACTACTCCTACCACTATAAACAGAGATCTAGGATAAGCCAAAAAGAGGCCAAACAGAGAAGCCAAAGAGGAGAGAAGATCAAGAAGTTCTGCCATCTCAAGAGGAGAAGGGAAGATTAGCAATGAAGCTTTGCCGAAGTCTATCCCCGACTAAGATCTTGCAACTCTATCTCTAAGGAGAAGAAACACCACAAATGTCATTTTTCAAGAGATCCAAATTATCTTTAAGTTATTCAACACAAAGAACAGTGAGAAAATTCGATAAAATCAAGTCAAATATCAAAGAACGAGATTCACGTCAATTTGACCTTCGTCTTCAGCAAAGCCACCAAATCAAAGATTGAAGAACGAGAACCACGTTAATCCGACTCTCGTTTTTAACAAATCAACCAAAGTCAAAATCAAATCGAAGATTGAGGAACACGCTGGTTAAACCCCTATCTTCACCAAATCCACCAAATCAAATATCGAGAAACATGACAATTAGGCCCTCATCATCATTAAATTCATTGAGAATCAAAGAACAGTGCACGTGAGAAGCACGCCGAAGAAAATCAACATCACTTTATTAAATCAAGTCAAATCATTCAACAATTGTAAATTTGACATTACTTTTGTGTTATATTACACCACGAATTTTGTCATTACAGGTGTCACCAATTTTTTTTTTAAATATTATTTTGAATTTTTTTCTTATATTATGTTTAAGCATACGGTGTCACTGATTTTTTTTTTTTTTTACAAATTTTTTTTGTACATACATATGGAATACAGTAATAGAATGAATGATGTTAAGGGTAAAATTACATATTTGTTATACAAGATGTCAAAAAATAGATGATTGTTTGTAGAATTCATCATAGTACCTATTAAACTAACCAACATGGGAGAGAGTTAGAATACTTTCTACTGTCGGTACTAATTTCCATTGATATTAAAAATGTGAGAAATACATTTCTCAATACCATCCATAGCAATCCTCAAAACAAACATGCCCTAAGTGTATAAATTGAGTTCTCAAATTAGATCCCAATTGTATTGCACTTTTTTTTGTTTTTTTAAAATAAGCATGCTTATTGTGATACAAAGAATTTAGGGTAAATTACACTTACACCCTCTAAACTATCACTATTTTTCCACTTTACCCCTCAACTATCAATTTTTTCAAATTACACCCACAACTAACACTTTTATTTTATATTACCCCAGTCGCAAACGTCTATTAACATTTTTAAAATAAGCATGCGGTGATTGAAATTGCTCCATCGAGCTTTGGCTACCCCACTTGCTTCTCTGCAGATATCTTTGCAACACAATTCCTTGACAAAGATAGCCTTCACTGCACTCAGAAGCACTTGTTCTTTAGTGTTCTGGTAGACCACCCTTTTGACTTAACAACTGAGCTCTGTGATAGATTAAGAAGATAGTTTACATCCTGGTCTTAGATCTAAAATCATCCTCTCTCTCTCTCTCTCTCTCTCTCTCTCTCCTGTTGTTACAAATTTCTCTTCCACCTTTTTTTTCATAAAAAGTTCTAACTATAGGAATTCTGTCTTGGCAATGTAATTAACTTTCTGTTCAAAGTGTCCCCCTCTCCAAATCTTCCTTTTTTTATCGCATGACAAAATTTTGCAATTTTCGTTTTTTGCATAACTAAATCAGTTATTACAGTAAAAAGTACTAGTACCTGTTTTCTGTAATAGAAAAAATGTGTAGATAATTAGATTATAGTATAAAGTCTAATTTATGCACTAATCTAAACAGAATGTATAGAAATCAAATTCAGTACACTTACATTAACGCAGAACAACACAAATAGTAAAATCCAGAAAATCAGAAATCCAGAAATTCAATAATAAAAACTATAATCCGAACCATGTGTAATCACAGTTTCTTTAAGGTAAATTTGCTCTCTCTCTCTGCACTTAAGGTTGATAAGCAACTGTCTCCCAAGATAGAACAGATTTCGTTCTTGAAGATGCAGCACTTCAATCTTCAAGACTCCAATGAACACAATTCAGTGTTTATACTTGAACCGAACTTGAAATATAATGCAACAATATGCAAAGGGAGAGAAGAAAGACTGAATACTTAATTCAGTGTTTTGGATAATTGAAAGAACAATTCTTGAATTGTTCAATGATATGTTTTGAGAGTGCAATAAATCACTTATTTATAGACTCCCAATTGGCTTTTCATAATGGGTGTAACTGTATGTAATGGTATTTTTTAATTCAAAGGGTATCAATGGTGACTTCATGAAAAAGTATGCACATTTCAAATGTTGCCTTTTAGTCCAAGAGATATCAATGATGACTTTATGAAAAGTTGTGACTATTTTTATGTTTCGAAAGTGTACTGAAATTTATGCATTTAATCAGCATTAGAAACTGAAAATGAGTACTTATACTAATGAGAGCAAGAGATTCAATGTGATTCTGTTGGTTCCACCGAGCTGCAAAATGCAGGCAAGGCTGGTTTAATTACGGTGGAAGGCAAGATCTCGGTTGTCCTGGGAACTGTACTTATCTGTATGTTATTCGAAACTTACTCTTGGACTAGTTCTGAAATTTTTACTGGTGTATTATTGAATCATTACATGAATATGATTGAATTACCAGGTGCATATCTTTTCATAACTTTCTTCCCAGAGCAAGCAAAGAAGCTCCTTCAAATAGCCCCCTCCAGCTAGCACACGGAAGCCCCCGAATTTTGGGGCTGCTATTTTTGTCCCTGTCATGTAATTTGAAGAGACCACGTTCTTTGGACATTAAGAGCAGAAAACCCCAGTGGAATGGAGAGAGGAAGTACCAGAAAATCTGTAAATGATATTGTAATTTGTTGCAACTAGTGTAATTTAACTCATTTTGGAAATTTTTTCAGTTTGCCTGCTATGGCTGTGAAATTGGAATGTGTGCTGGTGCCATATATCGTGCATAATTTATGTTGAGTTTTTCTTTCTTCCGTAAAGACTATATTGTAATAAAGGATAGGCTTATTTGCTGCATTCATTGCGGCCATGAGCTAGTTTTTGACCAAATGTAATAGAAGATAGTTCTCCTGTCAAGATTGTAAGAGTCTAAGAAGCACGGACACGAAATATGGATACAAACACGTGGATACGATATTCACAAAAAAATATGATATAGACACGTTGAATAGATATATGTATTTAATTTTTATATGACTAGTAGTTCATAAATTTGACCCNGCTTGTAAGAGTCTAAGAGGTACGGACACGAAATACGGATACAAACACGTGGATATGTTATTCACAAAAAAATATGATATAGACACGTTGAATAGATATATGTATTTAATTTTTATATGACTAGTAGTTCATAAATTTGACCCAATACACATTTTTATACATATTTTTGGCCCAAATAAGTGGATAAATTTGGTCTAAATGTAGTCTAATTTTAATTTACCCATTAATTTTATTGGACCAAACAAAGGCCCATTAAACAGATCAATTAATAAGTTAGCCCATCGATTGGAATGTTCAAGTTTTAAATTCTCATTTAATTTGGGCCACAATTAATCTTTTTATGTTGATAAGGAGATAAGANATTTTTGGCCCAAATAAGTGGATAAATTTGGTCTAAGTCTAAATTTAATTTACCCATTAATTTTATTGGACCAAACAAAGGCCCATTAAACAGATCAATTAATAAGTTAGCCCATCGATTGGAATGTTCAAGTTTTAAATTCTCATTTAATTTGGGCCACAATTAATCTTTTTATGTTGATAAGGAGATAAGATAAAAATCTAAGAAAATCAATAATAACATATCACATGGCAATGACTAGATGTAAACAACACAATAATCTAAAAAGAAAAAAAGAAAAAGTAGATCTGCCATGAGGGCTCCCACCCCCCTCTTTTTCTCTCACACACACACCAGCACACCTCTTTCTCAATCTCTCTCTCTTCTTTTCGCTTCTCTTCTCTGTAATCTCCTTCTCTTTTTTCTGTAAAGATGGTCGCCGATCGTTGGAGATGGCTGCTGATCGAAGGACATCTTTGGTGTTCTGTGGCTCGAGTTTTGTCTTTCTCGTCAGCTTCTTCATTATCGTAGCTGTCTATCTTCGTCGACTCCGGCTGCTGTGAACAACCGAAAATTAGTAAGTTGGGAAAAACGTATCCAGAACATGTCTAATTATCCAAAAAATAAAAATAAAATATTTGGACACTGATTTTTGCCTGTATGGGACGGGTCCGAGCGTGCCCGTGTCCCAGAAGTATCGGAAACGGATACGTGAGGGCAAATAACGTGTCGGACACGAGTATGGNGTGCAGATGCTGTTCCTCGATGGTTGTTTCATTCTTTGTGTGATTGAATGCATAGCATATGGCAATGTGGATCTTGCTAAAATAATAATTGGTCATCTAGGCCTCTTTACATCGAGTCGTGTTTTGGCAGAAATGTTCNTAACGTGTCGGACACGAGTATGGATAAGTCAGGGCATATTTTGAAAATTGTAAGGACTTTATTGGTGAAAGAGAACATATACAAACCATGTGATCACAGTGACAACTATACGCAAGGCCTTGCCTAATAAACAACTCNCGTGAGGGCAAATAACGTGTCGGACACGAGTATGGATAAGTCAGGGCATATTTTGAAAATTGTAAGGACTTTATTGGTGAAAGAGAACATATGCAAACCATGTGATCACAGTGACAACTATACGCAAGGCCTTGCCTAATAAACAACTCCACAACACACCTGAACAAAGACAACTATCAACATTGCAATACAAGGACAAAAACTGAATCAATATGGAATGTTATAAGCAGCAAATCCTGATGAAGATGAAAAACATTTCTCGATTTGTACATCTCATCCTTGCCCAGGGGCATATTGATCTTCTCTATATCGTTCCCATTTTATCGGATGTTTCCAAAGAAACTGAAGTTGATTAAGGTGAAGACCAAGTTGGGATCCAAACTCACAAAGGGGGGTGCTCCAAATTTGCCTCAACTCTGATTTTATAGGGGCACTTCATATCTAGAAGGCTGTTGAAATTATTGACATCAAAATACCAAATTTTTCAAGCAATGAATGTGAAATCCACTAAAGAAAGGTCTCAGAATTGAAGGCAATGATGGAACACCACTTCATACTAGCCTAGTTGTTGTTTCTCAAATAGAGCTGTAATAATCATGACTTCCTTATTCCCATGGTTGTGGTATTGGGACTTTTGAGTCCTCCATTTGAAATAGATCAGTAAAATATTCCCAGAAACAACCACTGAAGTAGGAAATTTTTGCCAGCCCTCCCTTGTTGACTGACCATCATGAACTGCTACCTTTGCCAATGCAAAATCTTCAAACCAATTTAGTATGCCGAATGGTTCTCTTTTCTGCATTTGTCTAATTTCATGGGACTGTGCATTCCTTAGTTTCCAAAATCTACTCAAGTTCAACTTATCTTGCTTTATTCTTCGATCTTTGTAAAATAGTATCTCATCATTAGAACTTACATATTTAAATTGAGAGTATTGATAATGGCAGGCCAAGAAGCATTTCTGTGGAACCAAAACAGTGCCAATCAAGCAAGCAACATCAGTGGCATGATGAACCATGATTTGGAGACACATAGTACTGCAATCCCATTTGAAGCCACTGCTCAATCTTCTTCAAGTGGTCGGAATCAATGGTTACAATCCATAATGGATGATGGAGGTAATATCAATGCTACTCTATCTGCTACACCACGAATACAAAAAGTTCCACCAGCACTGCGAATGAACACAGATAACGGGAAATACTATGAACCCCATTTGGTTTCATTTGGTCCATACCACCACGGCAAAGCTGAGCTTGAGCCAGTTGAAAAATCTAAGGCTACAATCGTGAGACAGTTTGTTCTAGGGAGTGGCAAACCGATAGATGATTTCTACAACAAGGTTGTGGAGTTGGCTGACAATGCTAGGAACTGCTATCTTGAAGGCTCAACAGATGCCTTCACTCATGAAGAATTTGCGCAGATGCTGTTCCTCGATGGTTGTTTCATTCTCTGTGTGATTGAATGCATAGCATATGGCAATGTGGATCTTGCTAAAATAATAATTGGTCATCTAGGCCTCTTTACATCGAGTCGTGTTTTGGCAGAAATGTTCTTATTGGAAAATCAGCTTCCATTCCTCGTTCTATGGAACTTGGCGAAAATAAAATTCCAAGGAGATGCAGGGGAGCAAATGATCGATTCATTCATTTATCATGTCACCTCGACCATCCCACTGAGTCAAAGTAGGTCAAAGATAGCACAAGGTGAAGTCAAGAAACCCCTTCATCTCCTTGAACTCATAAGGTCAAAACTACTATGCAAATATGACTATCAACAGGATGAGCTCAGCAAATTTGAACTGATCAGGCCAAGGGAGAACTATCCTGGCACTCCGAGGGATTATTCTCATTCATTCCGTTCAGTCATGGAACTCAAGGCAAAGGGAATTCATGTCANGCGCAGATGCTGTTCCTCGATGGTTGTTTCATTCTTTGTGTGATTGAATGCATAGCATATAGCAATGTGGATCTTGCTAAAATACTAATTGGTCATCTAGGCCTCTTTACATCGAGTCTTGTTTTGGCAGAAATGTTCTTATTGGAAAATCAGCTTCCATTCCTCGTTCTATGGAACTTGGCGAAAATAAAATTCCAAGGAGATGCAGGGGAGCAAATGATCGATTCATTCATTTATCATGTCACCTCAACCATCCCACCGAGTCAAAGTAGGTCAAAGATAGCACAAGGTGAAGTCAAGAAACCCCTTCATCTCCTTGAACTCATAAGGTCAAAACTACTATGCAAATATGACTATCAACAGGCTGAGCTCAGAAAATTTGAACTGATCAGGCCAAGGAAGAACTATCCTGGCACTCCGAGGGATTATTCTCATTCATTCCGTTCAGTCATGGAACTCAAGGCAAAGGGAATTCATGTCAAGCCTAGCAGCACTGGCTACTTCACAGGCATCTACTTCAAATCAAACTACATCTCTGGAGAGCTTAAACTTCCTCCTATCATGATTACCCCTTTTAGCAAGCATTTATTTTTGAACTTGATTGCCTATGAAATGTGCCCGGATACTCCCAATGACTTGGGTGTCACCTTTTATATCCATTTTATGAAGTCCCTCATTGATCACCCCGATGATATAAAGGAGTTGCGATCACACGGCATATTACACAACTTTCTTGGCAGCGATGAAGAAGTAGCCAGAACTTTCCGGGAGNCTGATGATGTAAAGGAGTTGCGATCACAGGGCATATTACACAACTTTCTTGGCAGCGATGAAGAAATAGCCAGAACTTTCCGGGAGATGGAAACTCCCCTGATGTTGCACATGGACACATATGAAGATGTTAAGCAGTGCATTCAAAAGCACTATAATAACAAGATGAGGATTTACATGGCTGAAATGATCCACAACCATTTTAGTAATCCTTGGACAGTTGTTGCTTTACTGATTGCAATTTTTCTCATTGCCTTGAGTGTTATCCAGGCTTACTTTACCATGTTCCCTCTACCTGACAAGTGCATGGAATCCATCTGCAATCTCATGAAAAATAAGCATGGCTGAATCTATTTCCATCTTCAGTTCCACTTCTTCTATTCTCAGTCATGGTTTCTCTTGTTGGGTATCTTGATGGTTGGTCGATAACATGAATTCCATTCCTCATGGCTATGGAAACATTCCCTTTGGTAGCTATGCTACTGTGCCGGTTTTTCTTTTTTTAACTTGTATCATATTGAAATCACCATTGTTTTACATATCAAAGCAGTACATTGCTAATGGGGAATCAGAATTTTCCAACACAAACTGGGCAGCTTACAATGCGATATGAACCTGCCATTGTGCTGAAATTATTTGGGTTGGAGGAAGAAGATGCTCTTAGCATAGTTCTATTGCAAATGAAGTATAATGGATATTGATTTCTCAATCTTGAGTGCAAACTATGGAAAACCAAATTGGAAAAGATAAAACTTGGACTCCAACTGACTGATATTAGGAACAGATATCGTTTTTTTCAAGTTTTAAGTTTGCAATGTTTATCTGTAAAGCAAACAAATTGTAAGTTGAAGGCATTAAATCACTATAGGAATGTTATAACTTGCATTATTGAGTGTCATTTCCATAGTATGTTTTCTAAAAGATTTTCATTGGCTGTCAACACAACTCTCCACCTAGCTCTGAACTTGAAAATGAAAAGGACAGATGATATCGAGTGTGAGAATAATTCGTAATTCTTTGTCTTATGGATTTACTAGTCACATGGGTTATAATTGGCTTCGTCCTCATCCTAAGAATATATTAGTGTGCATTACTTTGACATAACTGATATAAGCAATCTATAACATCAAGCAGAAGATAAAACCCCAAGTAAAAATGAACCACTCATACCTAAAATCATCTTATGTACTTGTGTGAGACATCCGACTCTTTTCCTTTAAATCAAGGGAGGAGAATTGAGGACTATATACAACTTAAGATTTTGGTTGATGGAGCTTATCAAACACTTGGCCTCCACACAAAATACAAACGCTTCTAATCATGTTATGATTTGCGTGAAGGAGAGAGTTTCCTATGCCATGGTTATTAATCTCAAACACCAGTTGGAAAAGCATTGCAAATGTTTATATTGACATCTCTAATCAGATTGCTACTAAAGTCAAAACTGCCTCATAAAGAAAAACAAATGTGAATTTCTATCATCATATGTTTGATAATGAGATGATTTGACTATTTCCAGACTTGTTAACCTATATGATTTAATTGTTTCCTGATTATCCTTTTCTTTTTTCTTATCTTCTGATAGATTTAATGTGAATGGATGAAACGTCGAGTTGGGTTGATTTACTTTCTTTTGATCAGTCTTTACCTCACATCATAGTTATTTTTGTGTTACGTTGATACCATTTGGATTATCATTCTTTTTCATGCTTTAAGATCTGCAGCAGCTTCCAGCAAGTTAGGGAAAGCCAGTTACCACAACATAGCATGCATAACATCAGGGCTTTAATCAGTAAAACCAAGTTAAAATCTAACACACTTCTAATGTTTGATTCTGTTTGTTCCACTTGGCTGCAAAATGCAGACAAAGCTGCTTTAGTTACAGTGCAAGGCAAGATCTCTGCTGTCCTAGGAACTGTACTTACCTGTAAGTAATTCAAAACTTACTCTTGAAATTACTCTGAAATCTTTCCAGACATATTATATGATCACTATGTTTATGTGATTGAACTAGCGGGTGCATAAAAGCAAGCAGAGAAGCTCCTTCAAATGGGTCCCATGGCTAGCACTCAGAAGAACCCAAATTATGGAGTTGCTCTTTTGTGTCCATGTCATGTAAGTTGAAGGAACTATGTTCATTGGCCATTAAGGACAAGAATTCCCCAGTGGAATGGAGAGAGCAAGTACAGGAAGATCTGTCAATGGTGATGTAATTTTTCAGTATGCATTTTACTGTTGTAATACTCATCAAAGTTGTGAATTTGGACTGTGGATTGGTCCCAAATAGCAAGCACAATTGTGTTTGTTGAATTTTTCCTTCTGCCATAAAGACTATGCTAGTTTTTGATCAGATGCTATAGAAGATAGTTCTCCCTAAAATAGGCTATGAACGCTGAGTATTGTCCCTAATTATTTATATGCCTTCTGTTCTCTTGAAGGTGTACCAGAATTTTTCAATTTGAGCAAGTTTTTTCTGGATTTGAGAAGTTTGCACAGCTTTGTTTTCACTAGTTGCAGGGGAAAAAGACATTTATGTGATAACACGCCATTAGAATTGGTAATTTGCTCCAAAAATAGAATGTTTAACTTCTTTGGTTTTTAAAAGAAATTTTGATTTTTTTATAAATAAAAATAATAAGAATTGGAAGTGTCACAGTTTAGTCTTACTAATTAAGGCGCAATCCCTTCTAAAAATCCTAAGGCTCGAAACTCGCTACACAGGATATGTGTGTATGACAAAAAAATATTCTCACCATATATGACACTTGATCGATTCTAAAATTTTTTACAACGACTCTCATTTTTCTTCCTGTAGAAATTTGTCGAGCAAACACATCAATATATGTATTAAAAATATTATAAGTTGAATGGTACTGCTATCCCTTACACATGATATTACCACCTCCACCTAAGAATTCACCACAACCCATGAAATACATTTTTATTAAAAACATTAGAAGTTGAATGGTACTGCTATCCCTTACACATGATATCACCACCTCCACCAAAGAATTCACCACGATCAATCAAATGGCATTGCTTTCCTTCTACTAAATAAATCTGACCTCTTTTGAACTAAAAATGAAAGCTCAAAACGCTTAATACAATCCAAGCAAACTGTGCAATTACACTTTGCACATTCATATAGAGGCTTTTCATCATCAAACATGTGACCACAACAATAATTTCTAACCTTCTTCACCCTTCGAGTAAAGGTGAGATGATGTGGGTGATTTTTGATTTTGTGGGTGCCTCCAAATTTGACGTATGCATATTCGTCCTGAACGCATCCAGGATGAAAAGATTGGTCACAATCACGACAATGGTAGATCCAATACCCTGATTTTATTTCTATCTCACAAATTTTGCAATAGTATTCATCAGGATGATCTTTGATAGGTGGATAACTTAGGATGAGAGGAATTTGTGCTTTAGGGTGCGCGGTAAAAGAACACAATGGAAGCATATACCGAAATTGCACTTCTCACATATGTATCCGATCCAATCGCGCATGAAATGACATGCCCTGCACTCAATACCTAAACTTCTGATTTGAACCAAAGGATGCCTGCGGCTTTCATGCAGAATAATATTAGGTAGGAAAGCACATTTGAGATGAAGTGCTGTGTCTACTTCAAATATAAATCTGCTGAGCCCGCGGAGATTGGGGCCCTCGCCGCTCCTACTTTCGTAGGAGAATCCATTCCCATATTAACCGCAAGATGTGCATCGGAAGAGAGAATGAGGTTCCTTTTTCTAGTGAGAGGTGGAGCACGAACCGGGACGTACTCTGAATTGGCCGTTCTAATTCAGCTGGTAAGTTGGCACAACTTAAATGGATAAAGTGGTTGCATTGAACACAAGTGTAAAATGGAAGCGAGATCGATTTCACGCACATGTCGCATGATGATATTGTGTTGTGCTTGATCATCTGCGTGTTGTTTTGCCCTTGCCCATTATAAAGTATTAGCTCATGATTCTTATGGGTCTCACTTTTGATCTTTGTTTCTCTCTTAATCTCCTCATTCTCATGACGACTAATCTGTTCCACTGGATGTTTAGGGAGAACCACAAAATCATCAGTCAATGGAAAGTGTAGCAGATTGGGGTGGAGATGCTGATCGTCTTCTTCATTCTCACCTTTACCGTCTCTGAAACCACAAGACCCCAAAGACAAATTTTACTCACCAATAATAAAAGCTACTGTACGTAAAGATTCTTTTGTAGGAAGAGTGAGAACTCACCTCAAACGCTTTGACCGGGAAATTGAGCATCTGACATGGGTTTGATAGTGGCACAGAGCACAATAATATAGCCAATTCTCTCGCGTCAGAGGTAAACCACAGATCCTATAGTCCTTCTGGTTTTTCAAGGGAACGTCAGATGAATATGGCTTGACAAGAGTGAGAGGGTGATGTTGATCGTCAAACTGGATGGTGATAAGAAATGAAGCACAACTTTTGTGGATCCAAAAGGGACAGGTGTGACATATGCAGGATGACGAGTCTTTATCTTCCTTGAATGATCATGAAATTCAGGCATAATTCTACGTTCCTCCAAGAAACATGGTAAGCAAATATATGTAATCCCAAATATATGTAATCCCTATAGAAGAAACCATCCCTCCGAGATTCTCTACAGAGACTACATATGTAATCCCTAATATCACCACATTTCATAGCTGGATCCACCCAGAACAAATCCTCACCCTCACTATCATCACATTCCATAGTTGGATCCAACGAGCTCGTATACTCTTCGTCTATAGTTGGATCCCACCAGCTCGTATACGCTCTATCACCACTATCCATGGTTAGAAGATGGTCAGGGTGTAAGGGGTCTATGATTTCTTGAGGGAGTTCTGCGCACTTTCTGTGTAAATACCAATCACATTTGTTACACCAGTACACAACACCTGAGATCGGTTTTTTACACCCGTGGCAGATAACGTACAAGTTGACCTCACGCACTTCCCCGAGGATCAATGGGTGGAAATGGCCAAAATGTTTAAGCTCCTCCATCTTTGGAAGTATGTAAGAGAGAGAGAGAGAGAGAGAGAGAGGGGTGCAGAAGATGAGGAGATGAAAATGATTGGACTCAGGATTGCAAAACCGCTCTTCCATCACTCCCTATTTAATCAGGTGCCTCCCTGCCTTNGGGGTGCAGAAGATGAGGAGATGAAAATGATTGGACTCGGATTGCAAAACCGCTCTTCCATCACTCCCTATTTAATCAGGTGCCTCCCTGCCTTCTCAGGATTTTAGAAATTAGATTCAGTACTTGCAACCCCCAACATAAGATAAATGGATCCTCATCTCCCACCTCTTGATTGCATCATGGTTTGTCAATAATAGTCTCAGATGGCTTGTAATGCAAGGCTAGTAATTGACTAATTGCTCGAAAAAAGAAAAAGGAAAAGCTAAATGTTACACTTGTTTTGATTTTTAGAAAAAACGTAATCATTTTCAATTGTTTATCGATAAATAATGAGACTTGGAGCCATCACGAAATATAATACTTAAATTAAGTGAGACTAATGAAGCAAAGTAGTAGTCCTGCCACAAAAAATAACTCAACAAAGAATTTCCNTACACTTGTTTTGATTTTTAGAAAAAACATAATCATTTTCAATTGTTTATCGATAAATAATGAGACTTGGAGCCATAACGAAATATAATACTTAAATTAAGTGAGACTAATGAAGCAAAGTAGTAGTCCTGCCACAAAAAATAACTAAACAAAGAATTTCCTTTAATTCATGCCAATAAGGCATCTAGAGAAACGTCCAACCCAAGAAATTTAAAAAGAAAAGTTTTATTCTATTGGATTTAGATGCTCATTGTCTTCTTCCCCTCTCTCTCTCCATTTAACTCAAATACAACAAAACAAAGGCCTAAAGCACTCGTATACACTCCAACAAAGGGAAAAGATTACAGAGCATCCTCTTTAAATACTTCTGCGTATGCGTGTGTGAGTGAGTGTGTGGATATATACTCTTAGAATCTCTCTTGGAGTAGCTTTCTTCTGACCAACCATTCTTTGGCTTTTATAAAGTCCCAAGCCTTATAATAAACTTGGATGATTGTCGAAAATTCAATATTTTTTTCTAATACCTAAATAACTAGTTCACTCTAATTAACCTAAGTTTGTGTTTGGCTTTCCAACATTTGATTTAAAGCCACAATCGTGAGAAAAAATGTTAGAGAGAGAGAAAAAAAATATCTGTAGCAATGGAATTTGTAATCATACTTGTATACATTTCATGTGGATTAGGCTCTCTATTTAAAAGGTAAAAATAAATAGGCTCCTTAAAATTAATAATAGTCACAATGGTTGGGTTTTTGAAACCATTTTACGAGTTGTACTCTGGTGATCCATGTTACCACAAATGCTCATTGTCTTCTCTCCCTTGTTTCTCTCCATTCAACTCTTGACTGAAATGTAAAAAGAGAAAAAAGAAAAGAAAAAGGAAAAATAATGCAGAGCATTCCTCTTTAGACATTTTTGTGTATGAGTGTGCGAGTGATGGTGTGGATATATACTCTTAGAATCTCCCTTGGAGTAGCTTTCTTCTAACCAACTACATATTCTCTAGCTTTTTTAAAGTCTCAAACCTCATAATAAACTTGGATAATTGTTGAGAATTTAGTTTTTTTTNCCTAATACCAAAACCACTAGTTCACGCTAATAATTCGCCTAAGTATATGTTCTATTTTCAAACATTTAATTTAAAGCCACAATCGTGAGTAAAAAAATTTAAGAGCGAGAGAGAAACAGAGAATCTCTATAGTAATGAAATTTGTAAGCATGTTTATACATTTATCATGGATTAGGCTCTCTATTTATAGGTAAATTGATCATAAATTAAATTTTAAAAATATAACTGAGAAATAAATAGGCTTATTAAAATTAATAATAGTCAATATGGTTGGGTTTAGGAAATCCTATTTTATGTACTCTGGTGGTCTAGTTTACCACATATGCTCATTGTCATCCTTCTCTCCCCTGTCTCTCTCCATTCGACTCTTGACTGAAATGCAAAAAGAGAAAAGGGAAAAGAAAAAGAGTTAATCGTAAATTGTATCATGAAAAATCGTTCGAATTTCAATTTGTACCTTTAAAAATCAAAAATTTTAATTTGCACCTTCAAAGATAGAAATTTGTATCAATACGCACCTGAAACTAATAACCGTCAGTTTGTCGTCTAAAACTAAATGGATAAATTATGCTTAGATCCCTCATGCTTGTCACTTAGTCATTTAGACCCCCTCACATTTAAAATATTACTCCAACATCTCTTAACGTTTGTATACGTGTAACACATAATCCATTGTCGTTAATATCTGTTAATATAACCGTTAAAAAATATGATGTTATCCTAATAAAAAATTATAATTTCATATTATCATTCATATTGTGGGTCCGTTATATTCTAAAGTTCAAAATCAAGCTTATCATTTGAATGTTTAATATAATACAGGTATTTATATAATATTTTTTATATCCAATGCAATACATCACTTAAACAAAATTATCTGAATGCCCAATTGGAGGAACATTTTTAGTCATATTTAGATTCTCAATGGATGTAGGTAATTAAGTGACAAGCATGAAGGGGTCTAAGTATAATTTATTCATTTAATTTTAGACGGCAAACTAACGGCTGTTAGCTTGAGGTGCGCATTGAAAAAAATTTATATATTTGAGGGTACAAATTGAGATTTTGATCTTTGAAAGTACAAATTGAGATTCAAACGATCTTTCGGAATACAATTTAAAATTAACCCAAAAAAAAAAGAAAAGAAAAAGAATGTAGAGCATCCCTCTTTAGACACTTTTACGCATCCGTGTGTTAGTGAGTGTCTGCACTGTCTGGATGTATACTCTTAGAATCTTCATTAGAGTAGCTTTCTTTTGAACAATTATTCTTCTTTTGCTTTTGTAAAGTCTTAAGACTAATAATATAGTTGGATAGTTGTTGTGAATTCTATTTTTCAATGTAGCTAAATCACTAGTTCACCCTTATTATCCTAAATAAGTGTTCGGTTATTCAAAATTTGATTTAATGCCACAATCCTGAGTAAAAAATANTTTTCAAAATTTGATTTAATCCCACAATCCTGAGTAAAAAATATTCGAGAAAAATAAAGAATATCTGCAATAATGAAATTTGTAAGCATATGTGTACACATTTCTCATGGATTAGGCTCTCTATTTACAGGTAAAATAATCTTAAAACTAAACTTCAACAATATAACTCAAAAATAAACAGGCTGGCTCATTAAATTAATAATGGTCTTAATGTTTGGATTTTTGAAACCCAATTTTATAAGTTCTACTGTCTAAAGCCATCTCCAATCTTGACCTAGTTTTTTACTCAAATTTAAGTCAAAAGTTTTATTTGATATAAAATACAATAATAGACAAATTCAAATTTAAAGTAGAACAAACTTTAATTTAAAATAGAACAAACTTAAATTTAAAAAACTATTAAATATGATCATTGGATCCGTAAAAAATGGTAAAATATGACCATTACAGATTTAAATCTCCCTTGGTTTGAGTAAAAATTTGAGCTTTCCTTGATTTAGTATGTGTTTGAGTTGGACTTGAAGTTGCTTTTTGCCTCTTTTTACTCAAATTTAAATGTAAGTAAAGATTTGAGTAAGGATTGAAAATGCTCTAATAACTGATCAAAAACATTAAAGAAATAAAAAAAAATTAGAAAGAAATAAAAAAAATTAGAAAGAAGTAAAAAGTTTTAAAATTTTTTACTCTTAATGCTCAGTCATAAAACCAAATGGTCAAATGCTCATTGGAACCATATTCTTTTCTTGCATCACTTCTTAACAATCAACTTAATCTTTCTTAGCTTCAATCCCAAGGGCCAAGTGACCAATTTTTAAGCTGTAAATAAAATTCTCTTAGCTTTTTCTTTTTTATAGGTGTCTGAATTTGCGCTGACTATTCTCTCGAATTTAGCTGTTGATCATCGTGGCTTGAACTGGTTTAGAGCATGTCTCCAAAGGGACAAGAGTGGTTAACCCTGAAGGGGCGTGGGAAGATATTGAACCTGAGACATTTGGGTTACTAAAAGATATACCTTACCACTGGACCACCCTTAAAGATTAAATAAAATTTTCTTAGCTACAATCAACTTTTGACCCCCAAAATCATGAACCCATAAAGTATATAATGATCTAATCACTAATATTAGCTGCAAAAGAAGATTCTCTTAGCTGTAATCAATTTTCGAACCTGATGACCCAGAAACATGCTAAAGTATTCAAGTGTGTGGGCATGTGATTGCAATATTTGCATAGGAGGTGTATGTTATATGCTTCCCCTGCCACTGTATTTGATGGATACCATTAAAAGAAGCAGAGATGCTGCTAAAAACACCCCCATAGACCTGCAAAATAGAGTAAAGGGCGACAATAGTAAATAAACTATAGAAGAGATTTTAACGGTCATATAGAAAAGATCAATGAGATAATGAGATTAGTCTATAATGGATATAATTAATGTAATTACCCATAAAAAAAATCATTATATTATTTTGGTGCATTGGCTACCTAGGAGTAATTATATATATATAAGGATAAAAATAATTTAAAAAAAAAAAAGACTAATATATCTCTAATAAAAAGTCTTACCTAGAGACCTATTAGGACTCTCATACATGTAGTTTAAATAAGGTAATATTGTTAGATAAATCAAACCCTTATATATATAAAAATATATTTAGGTTGTAGAGTCTTTTGGTGAGAAGGCTTATGGAGGAGGCTGTCTTATGAACAAAGAAGAAAAAAAAAACGTGAAAGAGAGAAAGAGAGAGAAAAGAAAGGAGGAAGAAGACAAGTGGATTAAATCCTTTAAATGTGAGTTTATTATTTATTTTATGGGTTTTATAGTTTATTCAATCACATGATATTAGATTGATAATAATGATATTGCGTAATATGTATATATACACATATAAAGAATGAGTTTCATGGTAATCGTTTATTATTATTAAATTTTATTAAATTGAATTTAGACTTATAGTTGGCAAATCAATAGGTTGAAAAAGAAAAGAAAAGGGTTTGGAATTGTTGTGGCAGAACAAACAACTTGGATGACCGTAGATAGAAGAAGACCAATCCAGAAATTATAAAAAGCTCCCCTTTAATTTTAAAGAGTTTTATTTTGACCCTTTTATTTTTTTGAACTTAATTTTAAGTAATTTTTTTTTACTTGGTAAGTTGTAAGAACATAATTCTAAAAAATTTATGGCAGCCCCGAAGACAGAAAATTCGTTTTTAAAGAAATTATACTTTGACCCCAAAAATTTCAAAAATTATAATTTGACCACAAAATTTTAAAAACTTTTTCTAAACAGCCAGAATACTTCCATATCCTATTCCCTCGTATTATAAAGGATGCTTATATGTAAAGGATATATTAAGTATATATCAAAAAGTAGAAAGTACGTAAATTAAATATAGAATCACGAAATAACGAAATTAGAAATAGGGATTGATCGTTACATGTTATGTTGAATTAGGTGGTAATTGCATTGACGTTGAGAAATAGTGTTTTGAATTGAATTTTGGAAATCAATGTGAGTAGTTTATTACTTCTTTTGGGAGGATTTTCTATATTAAACTTGTGGGTGCGTGTGTGTGAATTTTTCATATATATGATATATGTTGATGTTCGGGATTGCAATTAAAATATTTTTGCAATTGTGAATTGTTACACATGTGAATTTACAAAACTTATGAGATGATTTTATATTATTGCTTAAATGGTTTTGGTGATGAAAGATAAATTTTGTGAGCGATGAGACTAAAACAACAGTTTTAGTGTGTGTGTTGAAATCATGTTTTATGATAAGGGGACTGGGTTACCAAGTTTAAATGGTAACGAGATTGTATACCGGCGTAGTCGGTATAGGAATGTGCACATAGAGGCTAATTATCAGGCTAGTGATAATAAAAGACAGGGTCAGTTACCAGGCTAGTGATAACAAACATGATTTAACAAGTGTACTTGAGACTGAATGTGTGTGTGAGTGTTTTGAGCTATGAATGTCTTTTATTTTATAAAGTTATTATGATCATGAGATCATTTTTTTTACATGGTTATGTAAAAGGGATTGAGGTACAATTTATTGTATTTATGTATATAACAAAGTTTATTTCTGTGTATATGAAATGTGAGATTTATTTTCAAACCTCATTAGAGGTGGTTGCTACTCACATGCCTTTGTGCTCACCTAAATATTTAACATTTTTCAAGTGAGGATCAGAAGGAGGAGTAAGTCCTCGGATAGACAAGGGATTAGAAGAATCGAAGATTTATTTTATTATAGATCTTTAGGAATAAATATTTTTTTATAGTTTTAAGACAAGTATTTGATTATTTTGAGAACAATGTTGTTTTGCTTAGAGTAGTGAACCTTATAGATTAATTATTGNTATAGGTCTTTAGGAATAAATATTTTTTTATAGTTTTGAGACAAGTATTTGATTATTTTGAGAACAATGTTGTTTTGCTTAGAGTAGTGAACTTTATGGATTAATTATTGTTTTACATGAGTTTAGTAATAATGTCGGTGATGTTAGTTTATTTCTCTGGTATTCATTAGGTCGGTGAAAATGATCACTTTATTATTTGTCTTCCGTTGTATTTTGTATTAATTATGCACAGAGATAATTAGTTAAGGCCTTGGTGGCCGGTCCTCTGCTCATCCTATGTGATCCGGGGTGGAGGTGTGACAATTAAAGATTTAAATCTCCCGTGGCTTAATAAAAATTTGAGTATTTCTTGATTTAGTATGAGTTTGAGTATAATACTCAAGATTGTTTTTAGCCTCTTTTTACTTAAATTTAATTGTAAGTAAAGATTTGAATAAGTATTGGAGATGTTTTAATAACTCATCAGAAACATTAAAGAAATAAAAAAAAATTAGAAAGAAATAAAAGTTTTAAAATTGTTCACTCTTAATGCTCAGCCATAAAACCAAATGCTCATTGGAACCATATTCTTTTCTTTCATCACTTCCTAACAATCAACTTTGTCTTTCTTAGCTTCAATCCCAAGGGCCAAGTGACCAATTTTTAAGCTGTAAATAAAATTTCCTTAGCTTTTTTTTTCTTATAGGGTGTTTAGACTTGTGCCGACTACTCCTCGAGTTCAACCGCTGGTTATATATCGTGACTTGAGCTGGTCTAGAGTATGTCTCCAAAGGGACAAGGGTGGCTAACCCTTGGGAGAAGTGGGAAGAGATTGAACTTGAGGCCTTTGGGTTATTAAAAGATATGCCCAACAACTGGACCACCTCTAAAGATTAAATAAAATTTCCTTTATCTATAATCAACTTTTGATCCCCAAAACCATGAACCCATAAAGTATACAATGATCTAATCNAAATTGAACTTGAGGCCTTTGGATTATTAAAAGATATGCCCAACAACTGGACCACCTCTAAAGATTAAATAAAATTTCCTTTATCTATAATCAACTTTTGACCCCCAAAACCATGAACCCATAAAGTATACAATGATCTAATCACTAATATTAGCTGCAAAAGAAGATTCCCTTAGCTGTAATCAACTTTCGAACCTGATGACCCAGAAACATGCTAAAGTATTCAAGTGTGTGGGCATGTGATTGCATATTTGCATAGGAGGTGTATGTTATATGCTTCCCCCGCCACTGTCTTTGATGGATACCATTGAAAGAAGCAGAGATGCTGCTAAAAACACCCCCATAGACCTGCAAAATAGAGTAAAAGGGCGACAATAGTAAATGAACTATAGAAGAGATTTTAACGATCATATAGAAAAGATCAACGAGATAATGAGATTAGTCTATAATGAATATGGACTTGGAGATAAGAATCGAATTAGGGAGTTTGTTTTTCGCTCTAATACATTGATCCCACGATAGCAAACAATAATTTTTGAAATAAAAATGAACATTAAAAGCATCATCCCAATTGCATGGAAGTGATTAGTGCATTTTTAACGAGAGTCAAAACTTAGAATTTTGTGACAATAGCATCTGAGGTCATTTTCCTCAAACAAGCTTAAACTGGTTGAATGTTCTCAATCTTTTATAGAACTTGGGTATTTTTGAAACTAGTATCTAGACTACCGAGCAGGGTATTGGCCAAATTTTTCACCTTGAGATTGAAAGTTTGAGTCTTAAAGTTCATATTAAAACTCGGTAGTTGACTATTATGTTAGCTTAATTAAGTTCGTTCTCAAGAGACAAGGCTGACCCGACAAAAGATGAAACCTTAAACGAAAATTATAGATGGGGCCCTTTAAAAATTTATTATAAATATAATTTTAACATACGACTAAATTTCATTTAAAATTTGTTGTTCTCACTTTTTGTGGTGTAAAATTAGTGATTAATTTTTTATATTCACATTTTGTTAGTATATCTTATTCAAGTTTTATGCTTTTAATATTTGGATTCATATTTTTATAATGGACATATTCAAAACCCAAAATTCTTTTAAGCAAAACAAAGTGTTATAACAATAAATGATTATACTGAGAGAAGGTTTAATAAAAATGGAACAATAATACATGATAAATAGAGATCGTATAAATTGACTCTTTATTCATCTTTTAAATTGTCTAATAAATTATACATTCATAAAAAAAATAATTGAATTAAATAATTATATTATAAAAATATAAAATATAATTTATTGATGTTTGTATGTGTATATACAAGTCATGGGAAAGAAAAAATTTTCTTCTAGTAATTTGGGTAACTAAGTGTATAATTTATTTATTTTTAATGCGGACTAGTTTGTGTGTGTATGTGTAAGAGAGAGATGTATTTGTAGACTTTAATTATATTGAGGCATTTGATATTTTAATGATTTGACCATCGAAAAGAAACTGTTGGACCTCTCAATTTTGCTCGGACCTTTTCTAAAAATTTCTTTTGCGTCTAAAATATTTTTTGGGCCAAAATAATAGGTGAAAACCATAGACATAATTGGGGGCCTTTTTTTTTTTTTTTTTTTTGAGGCCCTAGGCGGCTGCTTAGTTAGCCTACCTATTTGGCTGGCCCTATCGAGAGGTGTAATCGGTGTGATCATGAGCCTCGTGATTCCACCTGTGTAGACATATTATAGTGATCTCTTGACGCTCTCTTTGTCCATACCCCTTTTTTTAAAAAAAAAACTAGTATCTAGATCTAGACGTCAATTTGGTTTATCTTTATTTTGGATTTGGAGAAAATTATTTCTATCATAAAAAAAAAAAAAAAACGAAGATTGAATCTAGCAGAGATACATTTTAAAAATAACACTAAACTCCCTTGACATTTAATACTTGTAACAACCATACCCCTCTAACTAACCGAAGTTAAAATTATTCACAATCAAAGCTGATGTCATCAACAATGGTTTCTAGAATATCAAAAATACCCTCCAAAATTAAATTTAAAAATTCAAATAAATGTTTTTCTTAACCTACAAATTTACCCAGCCTCTCATTTATTTATTTTTAATCTATATATTTCATATATAAATTAAAATTTAAAATTAAGACTAAAATGTTTAACTTCCTAATCTATTATATTAATAAGTTAATTTTTCAAAATTTTTTGTTTATTAAATAATATTTGGGATTATTAGTACAATTTAAAAATTAATCAATGTTTTTTAAATCTTAATAATTACCTATCCAATTATACTATATTAATTTTAATTTTATTTATTATTTATCTAATTACATAAATTCTTACTCCTACCATCCATCACCACCGGTTCCACCACCAAACCCACCAAAACTTCCAAACCCAGCCAGGGTACCCACCGCAAGGTTATCCTCCCCAACATGCCCCTCNCGCCGGTTCCACCACCAAACCCACCAAAACTTCCAAACCCAGCCAGGGTACCCACCGCAAGGTTATCCTCCCCAACATGCCCCTCAGTTTGCCCAACCACCACCCCCTCAACAGCAATNTTAGCTGTAATCAACTTTCGAACCTGATGACCCAGAAACATGCTAAAGTATTCAAGTGTGTGGGCATGTGATTGCATATTTGCATAGGAGGTGTATGTTATATGCTTCCCCCGCCACTGTCTTTGATGGATACCATTGAAAGAAGCAGAGATGCTGCTAAAAACACCCCCATAGACCTGCAAAATAGAGTAAAAGGGCGACAATAGTAAATGAACTATAGAAGAGATTTTAACGATCATATAGAAAAGATCAACGAGATAATGAGATTAGTCTATAATGAATATGGACTTGGAGATAAGAATCGAATTAGGGAGTTTGTATTTCGCTCTAATACATTGATCCCACGATAGCAAACACTAATTTTTGAAATAAAAATGAACATTAAAAGCATCATCCCAATTGCATGGAAGTGATTAGTGCATTTTTAACGAGAGTCAAAACTTAGAATTTTGTGACAATAGCATCTGAGGTCATTTTCCTCAAACAAGCTTAAACTGGTTGAATGTTCTCAATCTTTTATAGAACTTGGGTATTTTTGAAACTAGTATCTAGACTACCGAGCAGGGTATTGGNCAATCTTTTATAGAACTTGGGTATTTTTGAAACTAGTATCTAGACTACCGAGCAGGGTATTGGCCAAATTTTTCACCTTGAGATTGAAAGTTTGAGTCTTAAAGTTCATATTAAAACTCGGTAGTTGACTATTATGTTAGCTTAATTAAGTTCGTTCTCAAGAGACAAGGCTGACCCGACAAAAGATGAAACCTTAAACGAAAATTATAGATGGGGCCCTTTAAAAATTTATTATAAATATAATTTTAACATACGACTAAATTTCATTTAAAATTTGTTGTTCTCACTTTTTGTGGTGTAAAATTAGTGATTAATTTTTTATATTCACATTTTGTTAGTATATCTTATTCAAGTTTTATGCTTTTAATATTTGGATTCATATTTTTATAATGGACATATTCAAAACCCAAAATTCTTTTAAGCAAAACAAAGTGTTATAACAATAAATGATTATACTGAGAGAAGGTTTAATAAAAATGGAACAATAATACATGATAAATAGAGATCGTATAAATTGACTCTTTATTCATCTTTTAAATTGTCTAATAAATTATACATTCATAAAAAAAATAATTGAATTAAATAATTATATTATAAAAATATAAAATATAATTTATTGATGTTTGTATGTGTATATACAAGTCATGGGAAAGAAAAAATTTTCTTCTAGTAATTTGGGTAACTAAGTGTATAATTTATTTATTTTTAATGCGGACTAGTTTGTGTGTGTATGTGTAAGAGAGAGATGTATTTGTAGACTTTAATTATATTGAGGCATTTGATATTTTAATGATTTGACCATCGAAAAGAAACTGTTGGACCTCTCAATTTTGCTCGGACCTTTTCTAAAAATTTCTTTTGCGTCTAAAATATTTTTTGGGCCAAAATAATAGGTGAAAACCATAGACATAATTGGGGGCCTTTTTTTTTTTTTTTTTTTTGAGGCCCTAGGCGGCTGCTTAGTTAGCCTACCTATTTGGCTGGCCCTATCGAGAGGTGTAATCGGTGTGATCATGAGCCTCGTGATTCCACCTGTGTAGACATATTATAGTGATCTCTTGACGCTCTCTTTGTCCATACCCCTTTTTTTAAAAAAAAAACTAGTATCTAGATCTAGACGTCAATTTGGTTTATCTTTATTTTGGATTTGGAGAAAATTATTTCTATCATAAAAAAAAAAAAAAAACGAAGATTGAATCTAGCAGAGATACATTTTAAAAATAACACTAAACTCCCTTGACATTTAATACTTGTAACAACCATACCCCTCTAACTAACCGAAGTTAAAATTATTCACAATCAAAGCTGATGTCATCAACAATGGTTTCTAGAATATCAAAAATACCCTCCAAAATTAAATTTAAAAATTCAAATAAATGTTTTTCTTAACCTACAAATTTACCCAGCCTCTCATTTATTTATTTTTAATCTATATATTTCATATATAAATTAAAATTTAAAATTAAGACTAAAATGTTTAACTTCCTAATCTATTACATTAATAAGTTAATTTTTCAAAAAATTTTGTTTATTAAATAATATTTGGGATTATTAGTACAATTTAAAAATTAATCAATGTTTTTTTAAATCTTAATAATTACCTATCCAATTATACTATATTAATTTTAATTTTATTTATTATTTATCTAATTACATAAATTCTTACTCCTACCATCCATCACCACCGGTTCCACCACCAAACCCACCAAAACTTCCAAACCCAGCCAGGGTACCCACCGCAAGGTTATCCTCCCCAACATGCCCCTCAGTTTGCCCAACCACCACCCCCTCAACAGCAATCATCTAGCAACAGTGGTCTCATGCAAGGCTGTTTGGCTGCTCTGTGTTGTTGCTGCCTATTAGATGTCTGCTTCTGATAAGAAAACTCGGCAGAGAAATTTGTTCAATCATTTAGCGTAAAAATTGAAGCCCTACTTACCCCAATCGCAAACATTTGTTACTTTTTTGAACTGAAATCATTGACGTGTCGAGATAAAGTGAAAAAAATTATATAATTTAGGAGAAAAAATGAAATAAATTTCCATTAAATATGTAACGATCGTTAATAAATTGAGCAATGTGAAATTAATGACATAGTTGAGTGTGCAATGTGAGAAATCTGATAGTTGAGGGAATAAAATGAAAAAAATATGATAGTTTACAGGGTGTAAGTGTAATTTACCCAAGAATTTAATTACTAATATTACATATCCATCCATGGAAAGGGAATGAGTCCTGCCTGCACCTCCCCTCCAACCTTACGAAGAAATCTAAAATAATTTTCAAGAAAAAGGAATATTAATAATCTATTTGATTCCCATGCAACATCATATTATTTACGTCATAGATTCAAGTGACAAAATCATTATAGCACTCAACCGATGATAAAGTTATGTCTTACTTATTTCTTTTTAGACCTCGCTCTGCATGCTCCTCCGAAAGGGCACCGTGGCGACTGAAATTGCTCCATCGAGCTTTGGCTACCCCACCTGCTTCTCTTTGTGCAGATATGCAATTCCTTGACAAGGATAGTTTTCACTGTACTCAGAAGCACTTGTTATTTATAGTATGACAGAAAATTAGAAGGACGAAAAGTTTAAGAAATAAATAAATAAAACATCATATTTGGTAAGAAAGAAAAATAGGAATGATGAAAAAGTGAATTAATTAATTTTTCTTCCAACTCACTAAAATCAATCCCTCCAAAATCGGAAGGAAAGTGGATGAAAAGTTAATTATTTGTATTGAGATGTATCTTATTTGTCTATATATTATATATACATTAATTTCATATAAAAATACAATGATAAAATATGTGTGTATATATATATAAATTAAAATTTTAAAAAAATTTAAAATAAAATAAATTAAAAAAATAAAAATTTTAAACTAAAAAAATATTTTTTTCATCTTAACTAGAGGTGAAAATTGTCGACTCAACACAATGACACGATTCGAACTCGACAAAAATTTTATGACACGACTTGATTATAACTCGACACGAATTTGAAAATGACCTGACATACGAACAAGAAATATAAAATGCTCATAATTTTATGACTCAACACGAATCTGACACGGCACGACTCAATTATCACTCCTAATCTTAGTCAACACATAAAAAATAAAATTAGTCATTTTTATTTTTCATCCATCCAACTAAATACAAATGAAAGAAAGTGTATCCCTTCATACTTTTCATCCTTCCGACCAAACGGAGCATTATACTCCGTTTGGTATGATGAAAAAATGAAAGAATGGAAAGTTAAAGGGATAAAGAAAATACCATATTTGGTAATGAAGGGAAATAAGAAGGATGAAAAAGTGTATGAATTAACTTTCATTCCAAATCACAAAAATCCATCTCTTCAAAATCGGAAGGAAAGTGGATAAAAAGTTAATTATTTATATTGAGATATATCTTATTTGTCTGTATATTATGTATACATTAATTTCATATAAAAATACAATGATAAAATTTATATATATTTTTTAAAAATAAAAAAATAAAAAAAAATTTATTTAAAAAAAAACTCATCTTAACTAAGGGTAAAAATTTTTAACTCAACACGATGACACAACTCGAACTCGAACTCGAATTCGATACGAATTTTATGACACGAACTTAATTATAACTCGATACGAACTTGAAAATGACCTGATACATTGACAAAAAATATAAAAAGCTCATAATTTTATGACTCAATTCGAATCTGACACGACACGACTCGATTGTTACCCTTAATATTATGACAAAAAAAATTAGTTATTTTTATTTTCTATCCATCCAACCAAACACAAAGGAAATAAAACGTAACATTCCTAATTTTCATCATTCTTACCAAGAGCATTAGTCTTCCAGTAGATCATCCTTTTGACTTAACAGTTGAGCTCTGTGACAGATTAAAAAGCTAAATAGTTTACATCCTGGTCTTAGATCTAAAATCATTCTGTCTCTCTCCCCTGTTGTTACAGATTTCTCATTCACCTTCTTTTCCATAAACAGTTCTAACTACAGGAATTCTGTGCCAGCAATGTAGTTAACTTTCTATCCAAAGTGTCCCTCTCTCCAATTCTTTCTGTTTTTTTTTTTTATCGCAAAACTAAATCAGCCATTACAGTAAAAAGTACTAGTACCTCTTTTCCACGTTCTTGACGCCATTCCATCACCCTCTCTCTTCCCACATTCTCTCTGCACTACATGCGTGGATGCAAACAAGCACAAAAGTTTGTTAATAACCCAACACAGCTAATTAACTTGAAGGCATTTNTACATGCGTGGATGCAAACAAGCACAAAAGTTTGTTAATAACCCAACACAGCTAATTAACTTGAAGGCATTTGGTGTTATTACCGGCATTTGAGCCGTTTAAACAAAATTTTTTGGATTATTTCTTGTTCCTTGGACAAGGAAGATTTGTGTGAGCCAATTGAGCATATACCATGTCGTTTGATTGTGTGGTGATATTCATAACTTCGTATCTACTTCTTCAAGTTGTAGGAATTTTGTGGAATAAGGTCTAATAGTTTTGATGAATGGAGAGCTAACTTTTGAGAGTTAAAACCCTCTTTGATATGAATGCAATAGATCACAACTGGGTGTTTTTTAATGGTGGTTCTCTCTATAACCAGAGCCCTATTTATCCCTTGGGATTATAAACTAGTTGTTACCACTCACCAAGATAATCTCCATGATGACCAATATTTTTTCAACTCCCTATACTCAAAGTAAATGAAGATTAAAGACAAGATTAAATATGGTATTAGANACCAAGATAATCTCCATGATGACCAATATTTTTTCAACTCCCTATACTCAAAGTAAATGAAGATTAAAGACAAGATTAAATATGGTATTAGAATAATACAGAATTTTATCTAGTATTTGATAATATATAATATAGGCGTTGGATAATGGTTATTTAATTCAATCGTTTCTTTGGTTAGAGAATTATTTAATCGTATTAATGTTGAATTAACAAAAATATCCGCAATTAGTGTTTGTTACATTGATGACAACTTGAATTTATCACTTGCGAGTCATAATAGTAAATGTATAGAATAATACGTTTGACNGAATAATACAGAATTTTATCTAGTATTTGATAATATATAATATAGGCGTTGGATAATAATTATTTAATTCAATCGTTTCTTTGGTTAGAGAATTATTTAATCGTATTAATGTTGAATTAACAAAAATATCCGTAATTAGTGTTTGTTACATTGATGACAATTTGAATTTATCACTTGCGAGTCATAATAGTAAATGTATAGAATAATACGTTTGACTTAGATTATAATATCACCACTTTTGATGGTATTAAAAATCCTCCATAATACAAATATATCGTATAAAAATATACGATAAGTATACATTTTTGAAATTAATACAGTATCAAATTTGCTTACCAAACAAAGTATTAGGCCCAATTAAATAAAAAATTATACAATTCAATATTTAATCCTCTCATAATACGTCTATCAAACGAGCCCTATGGACTCGTTTAGTTGTCGTATTAGAAATGGNTATACATTTTTGAAATTAATACAGTATCAAATTTGCTTACCAAACAAAATATTAGGCCCAATTAAATAAAAAAATTATACAATTCAATATTTAATCCCCTCATAATACGTTTATCAAACGAGCCCTATGGACTCGTTTAGTTGCCGTATTAGAAATGAATGGATTAGATATAATAATACAGTCTAATACAATACAGAAGGAAAAAAGACAAGATTAAATAGGATATTAGAATAATACGTAATTTTATCAAGTGTTTGGTAATACACAATATAAGTGTTGGATAGTAGTTATTTAATCCAAGTGGTTATTTGGTTAGAGAATTATTTTATCGTATTAACNAAGACAAGATTAAATAGGATATTAGAATAATACGTAATTTTATCAAGTGTTTGGTAATACACAATATAAGTGTTGGATAGTAGTTATTTAATCCAAGTGGTTGTTTGGTTAGAGAATTATTTTATCGTATTAACGTTGAATTAACAAAAATATCTTCAATCAGTATTTGTTACATTGATGACAACTTGATTTTATCAGTTAAGGGGTTATAATAGTAAATGTGTAGAGTAATACGTTTTGAGTTGGATTATAATACCACATCTCTTTGTGGTATTAAAAAACCTCCATAATACAGNTATCGTATTAACGTTGAATTAACAAAAATATCTTCAATCAGTATTTGTTACATTGATGACAACTTGATTTTATCAGTTAAGGGGTTATAATAGTAAATGTGTATAGTAATACGTTTGAGTTGGATTATAATACCACATCTCTTTGTGGTATTAAAAAACCTCCATAATACAAATCTATCGTATAAAAAATATACGATAAGTATACGATCAATATACGTTTTTGAAATTAATACGGTATCAAATTTGCTTACCAAACAAACTATTAGGCCCCATTAAATAAAAAATAGTGCAATCCAATATTTAATCCCCACATAATACGTCTACCAAACGAATCCTATAAATATTATTTAACTACCTTGACAACGACTTTCACTATTTGATGGTTTCCTCTATCCAAGTCACTCATATTGACTAGAAAAAATCTNAGTGCAATCCAATATTTAATCCCCACATAATACGTCTACCAAACGAATCCTATAAATATTATTTAACTACCTTGACAACGACTTTCACTACTTGATGGTTTCCTCTATCCAAGTCACTCATATTGACTAGAAAAAATCCAGCTCAAACATCCAATCATATTAATGTAATGTATATTAATGCATGCACTATTAAAAAATAATATTTAATACATAATAATTTAATAAAAATGCATTTATAATATATAACATAAATAATGCAATATTTAACCAACGAATTGGAGTTTTATTTATTCCGAATTTAACTACCAACCGTANTCCTCTATCCAAGTCACTCATATTGACTAGAAAAAATCCAGCTCAAACATCCAATCATATTAATGTAATGTATATTAATGCATGCACTATTAAAAAATAATATTTAATACATAATAATTTAATAAAAATGCATTTATAATATATAACATAAATAATGCAATATTTAACCAACAAATTGGGGTTTTATTTATTCCGAATTTAACTACCAACCGTAACTTAATTAACATCAAAAAAAATTTAGCCACATATATTCTAACACATGTTTCAAATAATACAGATTTTAAAATCCAAAGTATAGAATTTACAACCCTATGACTGTCTTTTAAACAGAAAAGGAAATAAAAATGACAGTTTTGTGAGACAAGTAATTATTGTCTAATCATTGTAGACATTAATGTTTTAAAAAATGGACAGATATTTTAAGAATGAACTGAAAAATGCAGTGGAATAATATTTCAATATATAAAAATACTCCTGGATGGAATCTTGAAGCCTGTGCATCCAAAAAATATGTCCCTAACAGGATTTCAAAAAAGATAAATCCCAAATGCATAATTAGAACAGAAAACTTCATAACCATATCAGAAACTATAATAAGGGTTTTGAAATCCAATATAGCCTCTCAATCTATCAATTTGGGTAGAAATTAGGGTTAGGTTTAGTATCATATAAACAAATCATAGGAAACCTTGATCTAATTAGGGGTTTTGGGAGAACCAAGTTACCAACTCAGAGTATCGCCAAATTCTAAAGAATAGAGTCGTTTCCAGTGCAATCTTCAATCACTTTTGTTTCTTTCTCCGACATAAGACACATGAAGATCCGATCATCGGTTGTCACTGTTTCCATACTACCAAAGGAGAATCACAACACTAACAAATTTTCCTTTAAANATCGGTTGTCACTGTTTCCATACTACCAAAGGAGAATCACAACACTAACAAATTTTCTTTTAAACTCTCTCTCTCTCTCTCTCCCCTTCAATCCTAGAGGTAAAGGCATAGAACATGGGTGTTTGTATATGTTCATTTTCGCAATTTTTGTGTTTTTGTGATTGTATTTGCGTTTCGGTGCTAAGAGAACTAGTCAAAATAAGTTAGTTTGAGCACAGATAGAGATGGACGAATTTGTCGGAATTGTAATTCTTTGATAAAACATAAAAACAGTATCAATCAATAAACACAGATTCATCGTAGTGTTTGTGAAAAGAAGAGAACAAAAGAAATCGCTTTAAACTTATTTTGCCTTTGTACAAAGATTATACAATTGGGTATGCAATCGCATATACAATTAGGTATGCATTCGCATAGTGAGCATAGAACGAATTATTTTTTCACTTTTAAGAACAACTACTAGATTTCAAACTTGTTTCTTTTTCGGTAAATCTATATATAAAAAATAATCAAATTAGGGACGAGATATATTGAGAAGGATTCCCTTACTAAATACTTAATTATTAGAGTTTTAAAAATTTTAATTAGCTCACTTCAATCAAATTATTTTATGTCTTTTATAATTACTCCCACTATTTTTTAAAATTTATTTATATTTTAAATTTTAAATTATATTTTTTTAACTATTTATAATTTAAATTAACATCATTTTAACATATTAATAAGAATTTTCCATTAATATTATGGTTAGGGAGAATTAACTGATATGATGGTGGTAGTGAAGTATAATAAATTGCATGCATTACACAAGTTGTTCGCTAGTTTTTTAATGTTCTAATACTAAATTACCCGAAGGGTAAGTTTGGTTAGTAAAAAAAGAAGAATGGAAGGTAAACGTGATAGAAAGTGAAAGAAAAGAAAAAAAATATATATACATATATATATATATATATATATATATATATATTTATGCATGTATTTAATTAGAATGAAAAACTTGCAAGCAAGTTTAAAAAATATATATTTTATTATTTGAAATAAAGGAAGCTTATAAGACAATTTTTTTAATGCCTAAATTACTCTTAATTATATTAGATCGGTGTAAAGAAGAAAAAACATGTATTATAATTAAAAATTAAAAAAAATTAAAAAGTGGCTACCAACTTCATTTTGGGACAAGAATCGTCCCAAACCCATATGACATGAATTGTGTCTACATATCTTTATGTATATAAGGAAATTAAATGATTACTTATAAATTTAAATTAAAATTCAGGTGTAATTTGAAAAGAAAAAATCAGTTTAATTGAGTGGTCTCATTCTTGAATAGAACTTGGTTATATGATAAAAAAATTTAAAAAAAAAAAAGATTTATGGATTTTCCCCACAGAATTCTTATACATCACATCAAATTTTCCATAAAGCAATTCTCTTGTAAGAATGAAAGCAAAGATTGAAAAGCTATGGCAGAGGGAGGAAAAGTATTGGGGACAAAGATCAAGGGTGAAATGGCTTAAGATGGAGGATAGAAATACTAAATTTTCCCCTACTACTACTGTTCAGAGGAGGCAAAGAAATAAAATTCTTATGATTAAAGGGCAAGAGGATCAATGGGAGACTAACATGGGAAGAATTAGAAAGATTATACAGGAGTACTATGAGAGGCCATTTGACTCAAGAGGGACAAAGGAGTTATTAGCAAATTTTGTCAAGGATTCCACAAAGTGTCACACTTGAGATGAATCAGAACTTGTTGAGGTCACCTAACACTAGAGGAAGTGAGAAGAGTTGTGTTCAGCCTTGGAACTTTAAGAACCCCAGGACCTTATAGTCTACCAGGTATTTTCTACCAGAAATATTGGCCTATTGTACAAGGTGAAGTTTTTGATACCATACAAGCTTTCTTTCAATCTGGGTTTTTGTTAAAGAGAACTGAATGAAACTAATGCGATCTTAATACCTAAAGTTGCTAATCCTGAAAGAGTGGCGGATTATAGGCCTATAAGTTGTTCGAATTTTATTTACAAGGTCATATAGCTAAGATGTTAGCAGTAAGATTGAAACCATTCGTGAATCAATTAGTTTCCCAACACCAAAGTGCCTTTGTGGAGGGAGGTTAATTCAAGTTAATATTACTATTGCTCAAGAGTTGATGCACTCTATGAGACAAAGAAAAANAATCTGGGTTTTTGTTAAAGAGAACTGAATGAAACTAATGCGATCTTAATACCTAAAGTTGCTAATCCTGAAAGAGTGGCGGACCAGAAAGTATCAAATGGTCTTGAAGCTTGATATGGCTAAGGCTTATGACCACGTGGAGTGGGATTTTTTTATGGACCTCTTGATACAAATGGGGTTTGATACTAGGTGGGTGATGCAGCGTGTGACTACTGTCAGGTACAATATTATTGTTAATGAGAAAAATCCTCTCAAGTGAATCCATCTAGGGGGATTAGACAAGGTGATCCCATTTCACCTTATTTGTTCATTTTGCTAACTGAAAGCCTATCCACCATGATGAACAGAGAAATGCAGAATGGAGTGTTGCAAGGAATTAAGGTTAGTAGGACAGCCCCCAACATTACTCACTTGTTATTTTCTAATGATTCTACCTTTTTCTCTACAGCAAGCAGGCCCCAATGCCATGTACTAATGGATATCTTACATAGATATTTGATAATTGATCAAAAAAAAATAAAATAGATATTGATATGCTTCAGGGCAATTGATTAACCTAAACAAATCTGGGGTGATATTCAATAGAAATATCCCACTGCACACCCAACAGGACTTGGCAAGGTACCTCAAGATTCCCTTGATTCAATCAGCTGGGAAATAACTTGGATTGCCTACTCAATGGGGTAGATCTAAGAAGCAGACACTTGTGTGGTTAAAAGAGAGGATCATGGCTAGAATAGCTGGGTGGAAGGAGAAGCTTCTTAATCATGCTGGGAAGGAGGTACTTATTACTGCAATGCTTGCTAAACAGGTTTAGAGATTGATCCAAAATCCAGATTCAATGTGGGCTATCTCAAGGCCAAGTACTTTCTACAACTACCTTTTGGCAAGCTAAAATCAAGTCTACTAGCTCTTGGGGGTGGAGAAGTATTTTGGAGGCAAGACATCTTGTTAGAGTAGGGTCTTATTGACAGATTGGAGATGGGAGCCAGGTCAGATGTTGGAAGGATACCTGGGTTTGAAAGTATTCAGAATTACCAGCAAAGCAGTATACAAAGAATTTATGAACTGATTCCATGGCCTGATAAGAGGTGGAACATGGAGTTGATTAATGATAGTTTGCCTCCTGAAGCCGCTAAGGAGATTCTGAGTATAGTTCCTAGTGAAACACCACAACAAGATAGGATTAGATGGACTCTGACTAATTCTGGTGTATACTCAGTGAGGAGTGGATATCACCTCCTAGTGCAAAGATTTAAAGTCCCTTCAACTAGAATTGGTGCCTCTTCATCTTATCAAGTCCCTGAAGGTATTTGGAAGATCATTTGGAGAATTCAAGTCCCTCCTAAAATCCAGCCCTTTATGTGGAAAGTGTTAAATGGAGCATTAGCAACCAGGTGGGAGTTGTGGAAGAGGAAGCTCACCAAAGGTCCTACCTGCCCCATATGTGGAGAGGAAAGCATCTGTTTTTGCTCTGCCCCTGGTTCAACAGGATGTGGAAGGCCTCCCCTCTCAATATTAAAGTTGACAGAAATGAGGTAAGAAGGATTGAGGAGTGGCTTATGATCCAATTCCTGGTGAATGAGAATCAACCAATGATTGCTCTTCTGTGGTGGTTTGTCTGGAAATCAAGAAATGAATGGATTTACAACCATCATGTGCCTCATTATAACACAGTTCAACTTATCACAATACCAGTGAACTGGAATCCTAGTTTTATCTTTTCGAACTTAGTCTTCCATAATCTGCCAAAGACATCAAAGTCACCGAGTCACCACATTGCCTTTATCATCATTTCCCGCATCTTTGCACTCAAAANCCAGTGAACTGGAATCCTAGTTTTATCTTTTCGAACTTAGTCTTCCATAATCTGCCAGAGACATCAAAGTCACCGAGTCACCACGTTGCCTTTATCATCATTTCCCGCATCTTTGCACTCAAAGTCGAGAGATCAAGATTCATCGTACCTCATTTGCAATAGGACTATGCTTAGACGTGCATCTTCTTCCTCTGGCCCCATTCTGAATTTCAGCACTATGCAGTATGGCTGGTCTTATATTGCATTGTGAGCTGCCCAGTTTGTGTTCGAAAACTCTACCCCTGCTGGCAATATATTGCTCAGATATGTGAACAAGGGCCATGTCCACATGATACAAGTTAAAAGTTGACACATTAACATGGCTACCAATGGAAATGTTTACATAACCAGGAGGAATGGAATTCATGCCTCGGGCTGACCACTGAGACATCCAACAAGAAAAATCATAACAATAAGAACTCCAGAAGTGGAAGTGAAGGGGGAAACAGATTAAGTCAATACTGATTTTTCATGAAATTTACTTGTGAGGCAGAGGGAACACCGTAAAGTAAGCCTGGATAATACTCAAGACCATGAGAAAAATTGCAGTCAGGAAAGCAACAACTGTCCAGGGATTACTAAAATGGTTGTGGATTACTTCAGCCGTGTAAGTTCTCATCTTGCTATTATAGTGCTTTTGAATGCACTGCTTAATATCTTCATAGGTGCCAGTGTGCAACATCAGGGGAGTTGCTATCTCCTTGAACATTCTGGCTACCTCCTCATCACTGCCGCCAAGGTTGTGTAATATGCACTTTGATCGCAACTCCTTTACATCATCAGGGTGATCAATGAGGGACTTCATAAAATGGATATGAAAGGCCACACCCAGGTCATTGGGAGTATTTGGGCACATTTCATAGGCAATTAAGTTAACAAACAAAGGCCTGCTAAAAGGGGAAATGATCATCGGCGGAAGTGTAAGCTGTCCAGAGAAGTAGTTTGATTTGAAGTTGATGTCTGTGAAGTACCCAGTGTTGCTAGGCTTGACATAAATTCCCTTAGCTTTGAGTTCCATGACTGAACGGAAAGAATAAGAATAATCCTTCAGAGTGCCATGATATTTCCTCCTTGGTATGACGGATTGAATGCTGAACTCAGACGATCTATTGTCATGTTTGCATAGCAGTTTCGACCTTATGAGTTCGAGGAGATGAAGGGGTTGCTTCAATTCACCTCTTGCTATCTCGGTCTTAACCTGACTTTGTGGGATGGTTGAGATGCAATAATTAATGAATACACTAATCATTTTTTCTCCTCCGTCTCCTTGGTACTTTATGTTCATCAAGTTCCATAGAACAAAAAATGGAAGTTGATTTTCCAATAGGAACATTTCTGCCACTATTAGACTTGATGCAAAGAGACCAAGATGACTAATCATCATCTCAACCTGTTCCGCATTGCTGTATGCAACACATTCCATCACATACAGATTAAAGCAACCATCGAGGAACATCATCTGAGCAAATTCCTGATCACTGAAAGCCTCGGTTGATCCTTCAAGATAGCAGCTCCTAGCATCATCAACCAACTCCGCGACCTTGTCGTAGAAGTCCTCTATTGGTTTGCCACTTCCTAGAACAAACTGTCTCGCTATTGTGACCTTAGAATTTTCAACTGGTGCAAGCTCAGCTCTGCCATGGTGGTATGGACCAAATGAAACCACAGTGGGTTCATAATATTTCCTGTTATCTTTGATCATTCGCAGTAGTTGAGGAACTTTCTGCATTTGTGTTCTAGAAGAGAGTGTGTTGTAGATATTACCTCCATCATTCATTATTGATTGTAACCATCGATTCCTACCACTTGAACAAGATTTAACACTGGTTTCATATGGAATTGCGGTACTATGTGTCTCAAACTCAAGAGTTGTCGTTCCAGCAATGTTGGTTTGATTCATTGTCAGTGTTTTACTTCATCTTTGCACCCTTCCACAGAAATCCCCATGAACCAAACCATCTAAATTCTCGCGTTCATTTTTCTGAACTTTCTTTCTTATTTGACTGCTCACTGCACTGCACATCTACAACACCTACCACCATAAATAGTCTCGGCTTAAAGGTATATATTCACCAGTATCACACTAATAAGAAAATTTATATAGACTAAACCACATAGCATATTTAGGACAGAGAAAAGCAAGGCAAGTAGGATTTCTACAGTAGGTTATACGCATCTCACGAATCCAATTAGCGTGTATGTATTCAATGTTAGCGGGTTTCATGCCGTAAGCACCCGCAAACGACCCGACCCGACCCGTCCTGTTAAACATGATACAAACACAGTTCATACACACACAAACCCAGTTATGCACCGTTATAAATGGGCGGGTATGAATTGAGCAAATTTTACGAGACACGACTTAGACATATCAGGAACGCGACAAGGCACGCCTCATTGACAGTTCTATTCTAGAGCCATCGAAAAAGTTCATTCTGCAATGGTTATTATTTCTGGGAATATTTACTGCTCTATTTCAAATAGATCAAGAATACCCTATAGCACAACCATGGAAATAAGGCAAGTCATGGTTCATTGCAGTGACTGAAATGTAGTCTAAAATCAACTGAATTTCCACTACTAATTAAGCATTTAAGGTATGCAAACTCCCAAACATGCCATAAACATATCAGAATCAAAACACGCAAGTGGAATCAATACAACCAGTGGAATCATTCATATTCCAAGTATAGCATAAGCATATTGAAAATGTTACGAGGTGTAACTTGCAATTTACCCTGTTGCATTGTAGGTCATCTTTGATTGAATCTCCTAAGCTCCCTCTTTCACCTTTAAAACAATACAAAACTGATTGGATGAGTACCGAAGTGCAATTTTAAACCAAGTTGAAAACGAAAAGAGGAAGAAACAAGAGAGAAACGGGAGACTGAGGGAACGAACGGACGAACATAGCGAAGTCCACGAACGAACATACCAAAGTTGACCAACGATGGGTTCCCTTATACATTTTGGATAAAAACAGAACACAGAGTCCACCGTCACTTTTCGTTCAGCTACTTCGTCTGTTTCTTTCTTTTCTTTTTCTTTTTCTTTTTTTTTTACGTATATCCCGACTATTATACTTGTCGAAATTAAAATATTTACAAAAAATAAATCACTTCTAATCTTCTGCCTTTCACAATCTTTTGTAATTTTCAAACAATTTCAAATTTTCCAAAATTATAACAACATGCTCAAACTTTTTTGAAATTGCAGTTGGAGGAGTTGGGGGGCAGATCCGTGCCCCTGGTTACATCATTGCAGATCGGTCAACAAAGTTTCATGAGAGTCTAGAAAGTAAACATATCCAAACTCACTTGCCTCGTCTCAAAATTTAGACACGTTTGATTTGTGTTTTAAAAAATAATTTTTGAAAAGAATTTTAAAAAAGTGATTTTGATATTTTTAAAAATAAAAAATTTGTTTGGTTAGATGATTTTAAAAATAATTTTACAATACAAAAAATAGTAAAACATATTTGANTTGAAATTGCAGTTGGAGGAGTTGGGGGGCAGATCCGTGCCCCTGGTTACATCATTGCAGATCGGTCAACAAAGTTTCATGAGAGTCTAGAAAGTTAACATATCCAAACTCACTTGCCTCGTCTCAAAATTTAGACTTTGTGTGATTTGTGTTTTAAAAAATAATTTTTGAAAAGAATTTTAAGAAAGTGANGCCCCTGGTTACATCATTGCAGATCGGTCAACAAAGTTTCATGAGAGTCTAGAAAGTAAACATATCCAAACTCACTTGCCTCGTCTCAAAATTTAGACACGTTTGATTTGTGTTTTAAAAAATAATTTTTGAAAAGAATTTTAAAAAAGTGATTTTGATATTTTTAAAAATANTTAAAAAATAATTTTTGAAAAGAATTTTAAGAAAGTGATTTTGATATTTTTTGAAATAAAAAACTTGTTTGGTTAGATGATTTCAAAAATAATTTTACAATACAGAAAATAGTAAAACATATTTGAACAGCCTAAATATATATTTAAACAGTAATTCAAATATTAATAAAAAAATATAAAAAAATTATTTTTAGATTGACAAATTCATAAAAAAAAATTCAATAAACCAAACTTTAAAATATATATATATATATATACACCCCTCACATACAAAATATATATATATATATATATATATATNTTTGAAAAGAATTTTAAGAAAGTGATTTTGATATTTTTTGAAATAAAAAACTTGTTTGGTTAGATGATTTCAAAAATAATTTTACAATACAGAAAATAGTAAAACATATTTGAACAGCCTAAATATATATTTAAACAGTAATTCAAATATTAATAAAAAAATATAAAAAAATTATTTTTAGATTGACAAATTCATAAAAAAAAATTCAATAAACCAAACTTTAAAATATATATATATATACACCCCTCACATACACAATATATATATATATATGTATATACGTTTTTATATATACATGTATAAATATATGTATATTTATATAATAAAATAGCTTAAAATTCAAATTTCAAAAAATAAATAAAATGACTTTTATTATTCGCGGTTGAGATTGCTTTAAATTTTACTTTAAAGTTGATCTAATGACTAATATTAACACCCTAAATTTAATAGAAAAGTAGGACCTTAAGGGTGTGTTTGTAATAATTTTTTAAAAATACTTTTAGGAATTATTTTTTATAATTACTTTAAAAAAAAATAATGTTTGAAATCGTTCCACCACTACCTCTATCACCACCACCAACACCATCATCGTCACTGTCGCCGTCGCCGCCGCCGCCACTACTACCCCCACCACCATTACCGTCGTCGTTGTCACCACCACCGCCACCGCCATTGCCACTACTATTACCACCACCATCACTGTCGTCATCGCCACTGGACTGCACCGCCCCCACCACCATCATCGTCATCATCGCAGTTGCCACTGCCGTCATTGCCACCCACCAGAACTATCACCGTCTCCTACCACCACCATTGTCGCCCACTACCTCTCATCCTTACTACAACCGATGCTTAAATTTATTTATCTCTCATTTATGGTTTAATTTTAAATATGAATACAAATATATTTATTGTTTATTATTTTTTATTATTCTGTGCCTTCAGGCACAATCAATAACTAGCGTATATATATATATATATATTGTTGTCCTTGTTTCCAAAATTTTCAAAGAAAACTCTGAAAATAAATTACGCTTATTTTCTGTTTCTTTAACTCAAATCTCATTTTTTTCCCAAAATTTAGAGAACAAAAATATTAAACAAACAAGTTTTAGATTTTTTAAAATTTTAAGAATAAAAAACTATTTCCGATATGATAACCAAACATGACCCCTATTTTTGAAAGAATAAATAGGGCACCAACCACCACCAACTAGTAGAATACCAACTTTATTTCTCCCTTTTAAAGTTAAAAGTTCGAGTCTTGGAGTCTTTATTGAGACTTGATAGTTAACCGCTATACTAACCTAACTAAGTCTGAATAGTTACAAGCGCGGTCAGAGCCTTATAATTCCTTCAATGAGGGCCATCTTCCTTGCCCCCACCCCACTTTTAAGTGTTTGACATAAAGAAAGCAAAAATCATTTACACATACCAAAGGATAGTGGTGAATATCATCCAAACTCCAATTGCTGGTCAAGATGACTGAATCAAAGAAATCACATAAAGTAAATAATTAATAGGAGTACGAGAGAGAGAGAGAGAGAGAGAGTGGTCTGCCATTAATGGAAGCAAGGTAAATGACTATAAGATAAGGAAAAATATATTGAAAACAATTACACTGCGTTAAACTGTTTATGAATTCAAATTGCTGAACAGACAAACCTGACTCAACCCATCACTACCTCTACTCAAAACTATGGCTTTCATATGACAGAACTTCAACTAAACCATCAGCCAAATATCCGCAGCAGCCCCATTTTACTTCATCTAAAGAGGACATAGTTGGCCCATGGTCTCGCAACACAGCAGCTTAAACTCAGAAGCTCAGGGGAAATCCACTATCGAATTGCTCAATGATGCCAACCTACCATAACAAAACATTACAGCAAAAACCTTTTTCTTGGAAAAATAAAATTATAATGAAATAACCAATCCTTTAATAAATGCATTCTACACAACAGTTTCAATGCATTTTTTTTTCCTTTTTTTTTTTTTGCCATTCAGGGGTTAATTGTACCAACTCCCAGCTGCCTGCAGCACCAACAGCCATCGCAAGGAAAACTTATACTAAATGAAAGCTTGAAGAAAGCTAATAAAAAGAGGAAAATTCCATCAAGTCCTATTCTTTGTCCGTGCACCGTGCCACAGCACTACCACAATTTCAATCGCCTTGTAGACAGTAAAGTTGCCGGATATTTCCTGAAGCTGTCAAATCATTAAAAAAAGGGAGTTAAAACCTCACTCTATTCTATGATAAATCAGAAGGAATATACAGATTATGGACAATGTTTATAAACATCAAAACAATATCAATGTGCAATAATACAAATTCTTATTTGAATGGCTGAAGATGTTCTGTATGCAGCCGGGATGGTAAAGGACCACTATGAACAATCAAAGCTTCTTCCATAGAAATAGAAACCAGGGGAAAAAATTAATGCAACTGATCAAAGAGCTACAAGAGTAAAAATGCAACTGCAAACCAGTCAAGGAAGTGATCAGCACTTAAAATATAAACCCGTCCATGAGAGACTTAGAGTTGACAATTGCATTACAGCGGATGTCATCGGATTAATCACTCCCGAAAAACCTATTGATTCTCACCCAATTGGTTGGACCATAGGTGCAAGGTCTTTGGTTCAAGTCCAGCATGGCCCAACTGCGCCAGGGACCTAAAGGAGTGGCAACATGCAAATAAGTCACAAAAATGAGCTCAGGTAGCAAAGGATTAGGTTGACTAAATGGTACAGTGCATTGGATCCGAGCAAGAAGAAGTCTAATATTGAGCCAGGTGTAATAAATAGCTTGTAGGCAAGGAAAAAGTTGGGGCCATGGCTGGTGCATGTCTGGTGCAGTGGTAAGACTATTTAGCCAACAATCGAAAGATTGTGGATTCTATTATGAGGGCAGTAACTTTATCCAAATAATTCCAACTTCTATATCTGCACCTAGTCCACCCGTCCTAGCACCCTTGATTAATGAGGAGCAAATTGGGTAATGAACCTTTTATAAGAGAGGAGATAAAACCAAGATCAATACAATGGTTTTCCATTCCCTAGAAAAAAAAAAACATAAATCAGGCTTAAACTTCATATATGCTATAAGCTTAGCTTTTTTCCTTCACTCAAAACCAACCTTCACCCCCAGACACCAAAAGGAAGGGTTTCTCATTTACAGTGGATAATTTCTAAAAGCAGAACATCTAGATCAGTCTCAATCTTGCAGCCAATAAAGCCCGAGTACTAATGTCCGGACGCACTTGGCTCTCCAAATGATTCCATTTCTCAACCCCTTACAGCTGACTGACTGGACATTAGTGAATATGTTCAGTGGTTTAACCTATCCCTTTCTAGCAAGTGGCGATAATTATGGCGGNGACGCACTTGGCTCTCCAAATGATTCCATTTCTCAACCCCTTACAGCTGACTGACTGATATCTCAACCAGAAGGTGCTGGACATTAGTGAATATGTTCAGTGGTTTAACCTATCCCTTTCTAGCAAGTGGCGATAATTATGGCGATCAAGCTTCTAGGATTCAAAAACTTTGTTGATGTGCCAAATTTGTGAGAGAAGGCTGCAAGTTACATATCAGGTAGACAGTATCTCATGGAAAGAATCATCACAATCAGGGAAAACAAATTAGTCTCGAAAAAGTACCTCTAAATTATTTTCCCTCTGTTAATGGTATATAATGCAGGGAAACCATGCGTACGATTGTGATGAAAGTTGGATAAACAAAATGATAACTGATACAGACAGAAAGCAGAACAGAATTGCTATAAATGCTTCTTCAATTCTCCTTCATACTCTAGATTTCCCTTATATCTCAACCTACACGTACAGTGCAAACTGCTCTGAGTTTCAAATTGCAAATGAAGCTGAAAAAAGATGTGCACAGCTAAACATTACAAATATACTTTCTGAACTTGGTAGACGAAAATTACTGAATGTGATATTTGAAGTCGAAGTTTCCTGGAAGCTCATCAAGTTTTACTTCTAAACAAGGAATGTAGAGAAGCCCTAATAGCACGTGTATCCAAAGTATACAACATACATGCATACATAAGATAAGGCAATGATTGAGTAGAGCAGCATTCCTACCATATAGCCAGTCTTTAAAGTATACATGAAGTGCGCTTGATAATTCCCGTTTCCTGCTTTCTTCAAGCTGTGTCTCCCTCAAAATATGCTTAATCTCCCCTAAATTCTTGTGCTAGAATTTTTTAAAAAAAATTGTCAAACATTTGGATACTCAATTGAGAAAAAAATGAAGATTGCAGGGGATCCCTCAAAAAGATGAAGAACATGCAGACCAATAATTACAAAAGCAAAACAAGTGATCTTTCAAAAATCATCATGGTTCTTGCACATACATTTCTTTGCTGAGATGCCATATAAGCATCAGGTAATGGAAATGGATTGTCTTTTGTTGACCCAGCTGATTCACCACCAAACCAGTTTGGAATCTGTGTACCAAAAAAAAAGTGTATCAGTATGTAACCCATATCTGATAGAAAAGAAAAGGAATGATTGTCATAACAAAACCCCTTGATAGCTCAAAGAAGAAACACATTCTATTGGAGAAAACACAATTTATAAAAAGTTCACATTCAAACAACTTAACTAAAGTCTAGAGTGAAGATTAGACATCACTTGAAAAATAGTGAATAGCAGTTGAACAGACAAATGAACCTCCAAGTATACACAACACATCATTAAAATTACAAAACTTACCAAAAAAATTGTGAATTGGTCGGGGTCTATGCGAGTAGCAGACTCAGTTTGAACATCAGAGACACCAGCAGGATGAGATAATGAATCGTGTGGATCAACCACCCCCAATGCCACAGGTTCATCCCATCTGTTGAGACTGGGCTCAACACCAACTTGACTCATGTGCTCCTCCAATTGTGAATAGAATGTATTATAAGGTGCCACCTAATCAAAATTGGTTAAAAGACCTCTTGTGCATGAAAAAAGAGAAGCAGAACAATTTTAGATTACAAAGAATTGACAGCATGAAGAGAATTCAAGTTTATCAACACAATATTCTTACGGATGCAGAGAACAACTGTTTGAGTTCAAACCTGTGCCTGGATGCAACTATCACACAGACACGTTGCCTGGAGATCATCCCAGCAGGAAATTCAGAGGTGAAAGGCACACATTAAATGGCACAAAGCTTAAATTAGTAGAAGAATAAGGTGAGCAGGACAAAGTGGCTTGCAGATACTCCTATACCTTCATCATACCAATTTTAAGTGAGAAATGGCATGGGAATAGATGTCAGGGAATTTGAATATCCCACAGACTAAGGATCTCCAATGGCAAGATGAACGCAGAAGCATGAGCTATGGTCAGAGGAATGAATCGAGAGAGGGAGAGACGGGATTTCAAGTCATTGTTATTGCAATAAAAAGTGATCTATCAAATTATAAGACCATAAAAATGAGGCATTCCATCATTCGAGCATTTAAGTCGATGGCCCATCTAACACATCAAATAAGAAACAACCCACCAAAGAGGTTCAAGTCAGTATCTTACTTTTGCATCCTAGACACATCCAGAATCTTCAATTTGCAGGCAATGGCGTATAACAGAGGGGCTGATTGATCAGTCTCAAAGATCAACTATTTTGAGACCTCAAGTTACATTTTTTTGTCCCAAAAAAAACCACATAATTTCATTTGGAAAAAAAATAATGCTCAAATTCAATGCCCTCATGTTTAAGATTAGATGTAGTAAATATAACCCACACTGGATCCCTATGTATACTTATCGCAACACAAGTGTATCCCCATCTGAACATGTGTGGCAAGTCCAGTTCAAAAAAAATTAAAAAATCTGCGCCAAGAGTGTCCAATAATATGCCGCTGTATCCTACACATCAATACAGAAAACATCAAATACCGCCACAGAAGCCTGATTGTTTTTGTTGTGCTGTCTTCTGTAAATCCAATATTGTAATCTACTAGAGTAACTAACTCTCTTATTCAAAAGACCACCCAAGGAAATCCTTTTTCAAGGTTCATTAACTTTTCTTCAGTTTGATTTTGTTTGTGGCCATACTTTAGCTTAAAGTAAAAAACTAGGACATAGTATACATTAAATGTGAAACTACTGAGAGACCTAGACACGTTCAAATCTTCACACCTCTTATATGACAGTGCATCAGCTACAACCATAGTTGTTAGTATCGTGCGATACGCGATACGTATCGTACGATACGTTACGATACAGAGGTAAAACAATACGGATCGTAGTTATGTATCGTTTTTGCGTCGTATCGTCCAATATACGATACGTTTTTACGATACAACCGATACGCGAAAAACCTGTTTTTTTTTTTTTTCAAAAACGATGCCGTTTTGTTTAAATAAGACACTAATTTTTTTATCCCCGCCACTGATGAAACGACGTCGTTTTCTAAATAAGACTAANTTATCGCAACACAAGTGTATCCCCATCTGAACATGTGTGGCAAGTCCAGTTCAAAAAAAATTAAAAAATCTGCACCAAGAGTGTCCAATAATATGCCGCTGTATCCTACACATCAATACAGAAAACATCAAATACCGCCACAGAAGCCTGATTGTTTTTGTTGTGCTGTCTTCTGTAAATCCAATATTGTAATCTACTAGAGTAACTAACTCTCTTATTCAAAAGACCACCCAAGGAAATCCTTTTTCAAGGTTCATTAACTTTTCTTCAGTTTGATTTTGTTTGTGGCCATACTTTAGCTTAAAGTACAAAACTAGGACATAGCATACATTAAATGTGAAACTACTGAGAGACCTAGACACATTCAAATCTTCACACCTCTTATATGACAGTGCATCAGCTACAACCATAGTTGTTAGTATCGTGCGATACGCGATACGTATCGTACGATACGTTACGATACAGAGGTAAAACAATACGGATCGTAGTTATGTATCGTTTTTGCGTCGTATCGTCCAATATACGATACGTTTTTACGATACAACCGATACGCGAAAAACCTGTTTTTTTTTTTTTTCAAAAACGATGCCGTTTTGTTTAAATAAGACACTAATTTTTTTATCCCCGCCACTGATGAAACGACGTCGTTTTCTAAATAAGACTAATTTTTTTTTTTTGTATAAAAATTTATGAATCTTGATTAATTTTAAGGATTGAGTTCAAAATGGATGTTAGAAATTTGGATTAAAAATCTCTTTGGTGTTTGAAGTTTGAATTAGTGAACTATGGTTGTAAACTTTGCGTTATAATATTAGTGAACTATGTTGATGACTTGAATAGGTGGTGGAGTATTAATGAAATGCTATATTTTTATGAGTGTATGATTATTTTTCAAAGGTATATATATATTTTATTATTTATTTAAATTTGTACCGTATCTTATGATACACGATACGATACACTATTTTTAAAAAACGATACACCTTCCGATACACGATTTGATAACTATGGCTACAACAATGCAGCTAAAACTGGGAGCATGAAGCGAAATATCAATGTTTACAGTTTGTGCCTTGTGGATACTAGGCCATCAAAGAACCCTGTATACATAATTTAGGATATAGTACAGATTAAATGCGCAGCTACTGAGGCACCTAGGCACATCCAAATACTCACACCTTTTATGAGACGGTGAATCAGGTAAAATAATGCAACTAAACTGGGAGCACGAAGCGATATATACATGTGTACAGTTTTTCTAAGAATAAATGCATCCAGTCAGTGCCTTGTGGATAGCCAGTTAGCTACACGGTCAAGGAAAACTGTGTATGCACATTTATCTGTTTATAACAATAGATTATCAGTTACTTTTGTAACAAGTAGGAGGAGGTAGAGCACTACAAATGCATCTCCCTTGCAATTTTTGCCAAGTCGAAAGGCCACAGACCCTGTGTCAGGTCGATTTTTTGAAGTGATACGAGACATGCAAATGATCATACAATAGAACACTGCATGATAAATGATAATTNTTTTTGCCAAGTCGAAAGGCCACAGACCCTGTGTCAGGTCGATTTTTTGAAGTGATATGAGACATGCAAATGATCATACAATAGAACACTGCATGATAAATGATAATACAATAATAAAACATTACTAGGACTCATTTACCTTACAGCCACATTAACATACAGTAACCAATAGGGAGTCGGAAAATGGATTAAGCAATAGAATCTAAAAGCCTAAGTATATCCAGGGGAATTTTAGAAACGACAAATTATTAAGTAGAATAAGAATACAGTGGTGCTAGTGTAAAGTTAAATTGTAGACAGCAAAAGATTAGCAACACTCACCTGCAGCTTATGGTTATCACCAACAATAAGGGGTTGTTGATTTACGCCCAAGAAGAATACACACTCACGGCAATTAGCAATACAGATTCGCTTCGCCGCTGTAATCACATGAACTCGCTCACAATGTTCAACTCTTACGGCCTGTACAAGATTTACAGTTGAGAGAAAGCACAATCCACCAATTCATTAATGAGATGAGAGCATCCATAATGCATCACACCTAAATAAGTCAATGTTCAGTAGGTAACAACTTGAACCAGGTTGATAATCTGACGTGACAGTATGTAATGCAGATACTGTTACAACTAGAACATGCTATAAATTATCACAAGGCAGTTACAAACCCAAAAATATCCCCATCAGTAATTACCATATAAAAAATGCACATTGCACAGACAAATCCCATCAAGTTGACAGTGAACTGCTTCATTTTGTGGCATTAGGAAATAGCAATCAACAAGCCAATTAGAGCCCACAGTTGTATGCAGCATGCAAAGTTCAATATCTCAATTCTCAGCCCATATTAATTCTTAAATTTATGTTTCATCATTCATTCCAAAAAGACCAATTGATAAAGACCAAATTATAGAACATTGATGCAGCTACCCAAAATCATTATCAGAGATGCAATGTTCTAAGGGAACTTCCAACAAGAATGCAAATTTGTAAAATGTTTGAATGCTTTGATTAATACCATTGACCACTAGATCCCAGCAAGTAGATAACAAGCAACGAAGATTAGGGCAAGAATGAGTTCTTTTGTTGACCTNTACCATTGACCACTAGATCCCAGCAAGTAGATAACAAGCAACGAAGATTAGGGCAAGCATGAGTTCTTTTGTTGANAGATGCAATGTTCTAAGGGAACTTCCAACAAGAATGCAAATTTGTAAAATGTTTGAATGCTTTGATTAATACCATTGACCACTAGATCCCAGCAAGTAGATAACAAGCAACGAAGATTAGGGCAAGAATGAGTTCTTTTGTTGACCTCCTTTTTTTTTCAACTAAAAAAAGGTACATCTACAATTTTTTGACTCCTAGAAATCATAATTTCTAGATCATAGAGTCAGCTAAAAGGATATACCAAGGTTTTTTCATGTCTTAACATCATTTTAGCACAAATCAATTCCAACACATTTTAGTGCATCAGACAGACATACAGGTCAATTCTCATGCAAACATAAACATATGCATATAACTGTACACACATAAAATGAGCAAAATCAATCACACTTAGGAGATTAGGAAATACATTTTACAGTCACACTTAAAATCATTCTCTACCATCATTATAAGCTTCGGATGTCCATAGGTTTTTACTGTTCTGAACCCTGAACTTTGATAGAAAATAGGTGCTTGAGGTGATATGTACATAATATGAATTGAGTGTAGTGTTGCGGAGGATGGAAAACCATAATTAATGCAAACCTAGATCCCACTCAACGATTCTAGTTTGATAACTATAAGAGTGATTTTCCCACTAGTCATATAGAATGCATTTGCATTTAGAACTGTTCATCTGGGAGAATCAAGAAACTATTGAACATTCTGAAAAAGAAAATATGAGATTCCCACAACCTTATCCCCACCTTGCCAATGGCTCCAAGAACTATAGTCGCATCAGAGCATCCATAGACTGTGGCATACTTCAATGGTGCTAAAATATAAATGACAGACTCGTGGCAATTTACAACCTGCAAATATAGAAGAATACATTATGATGCCAGAGTTAAAGCAACTTCTTACAAAAAAAATCAATTTCAGTAGCACTTGTTTGCACAGAGCATCAGAGCCAAAACATTTTAAAAAGATTAAACTACATAACTTAGAGGAAAGTTTAAAAGCTCCCCCATGTGTGTGTGTGCGCGCAATCCAAACAGTACGAAACTCAAGAGAAAGTAAGCTAAAGGAAAAAAAGTAAGCTAAAAGGAAGATGTTACAGGATTTGGATCCACCATAATCCACCTCTCTGGACTNCGTTACGATACAGAGGTAAAACAATACGGATCGTAGTTATGTATCGTTTTTGCGTCGTATCGTCCAATACACGATACGTTTTTACGATACAACCGATACGCGAAAAACCTGTTTTTTTTTTTCAAAAACGATGCCGTTTTGTTTAAATAAGACACTAATTTTTTTATTCCCGCCACTGATGAAACGACGTCGTTTTCTAAATAAGACTAATTTTTTTTTTTTGTATAAAAATTTATGAATCTTGATTAATTTTAAGGATTGAGTTCAAAATGGATGTTAGAAATTTGGATTAAAAATCTCTTTGGTATTTGAAGTTTGAATTAGTGAACTATGGTTGTAAACTTTGCGTTATAATATTAGTGAACTATGTTGATGACTTGAATAGGTGGTGGAGTATTAATGAAATGCTATATTTTTATGAGTGTATGATTATTTTTCAAAGGTATATATATATTTTATTATTTATTTAAATTTGTACCGTATCTTATGATACACGATACGATACACTATTTTTAAAAAACGATACACCTTCCGATACACGATTTGATAACTATGGCTACAACAATGCAGCTAAAACTGGGAGCATGAAGCGAAATATCAATGTTTACAGTTTGTGCCTTGTGGATACTAGGCCATCAAAGAACCCTGTATACATAATTTAGGATATAGTACAGATTAAATGCGCAGCTACTGAGGCACCTAGGCACATCCAAATACTCACACCTTTTATGAGACGGTGAATCAGGTAAAATAATGCAACTAAACTGGGAGCACGAAACCATATATACATGTGTACAGTTTTTCTAAGAATAAATGCATCCAGTCAGTGCCTTGTGGATAGCCAGTTAGCTACACGGTCAAGGAAAACTGTGTATGCACATTTATCTGTTTATAACAATAGATTATCAGTTACTTTTGTAACAAGTAGGAGGAGGTAGAGCACTACAAATGCATCTCCCTTGCAATTTTTGCCAAGTCGAAAGGCCACAGACCCTGTGTCAGGTCGATTTTTTGAAGTGATATGAGACATGCAAATGATCATACAATAGAACACTGCATGATAAATGATAATNTACTTCAATGGTGCTAAAATATAAATGACAGACTCGTGGCAATTTACAACCTGCAAATATAGAAGAATACATTATGATGCCAGAGTTAAAGCAACTTCTTACAAAAAAAATCAATTTCAGTAGCACTTGTTTGCACAGAGCATCAGAGCCAAAACATTTTAAAAAGATTAAACTACATAACTTAGAGGAAAGTTTAAAAGCTCCCCCATGTGTGTGTGTGCGCGCAATCCAAACAGTACGAAACTCAAGAGAAAGTAAGCTTAAGGAAAAAATGTAAGCTAAAAGGAAGATGTTACAGGATTTGGATCCACCATAATCCACCTCTCTGGACTTGTGTGTGAAGATTATTAATCTTATTAGAGTCTCAGCTAGTGTTTTTTTTTTTTTGGCATTAGCCATGCCTTTCACTTTTTAGAATGATTTTTGTTGTGTCAAGAGTTCAGGGTATTTTGCAAATTCTGTATATTTCCGGAAAAAAGGTTGTAGTAATGATGGATGGGTTTACTATTTTCTTAGTACACTGGTTATTGGGTCTTTGTTTTGGTTTTTAATAGGTTTATATACGTTTCAAAGTCGATTAGTTTCCAAATATGAAATCCAATTCCTAAGGGACTTAGGAATCCTATAAGATTAAATATAGCCATTTACTGCTTCCAATTCAATGTTAAGCACATGTTTTGGAGAATTAGGAGACCTTTTTAAGCTTCTTAGGTATCGTATGATGCTATTGCTACCTGAGCCCTAGTTTGTGCGATGCCAAGTTTATTGTTCTGCTTTCTCTTTTTTTTTTTGCACAATCTTGCAGCATAATTATAAAAATCCAACAAACCAATTAAGAGTCCGAAATCAACCATTATGTTCTATCATCACCATCCAAATTTATCACATAAAAGAGATGCAAAGAGCGAATAAGCTATTGTTTTCGAGTATTAATCACCCTACTAAGAACAGCCCCAATAAGTGTCTCTGTTTGCCCTAATTTAAACCTTAAACCTTATCCAGTTTCTGTTATGGTTTTTGATAGGTTTATAAATATTTCAAAGTCAATTGGTTTCCAAATAAGAAATCCAATTCCTAAGGGACTTGGGAGCTCCACAAGACTAAATATAGATAGGTTTACAAATATTTCAAAGTCAATTGGTTTCCAAATAAGAAATCCAATTCCTAAGGGACTTGGGAGCTCCACAAGACTAAATATAGCCATTTAGAGCTTCCAATTCAATGGTCAGCACATGATTAGAGAACAAACTAGGCTTCACACAACCTAGGGACTTAGAAGTCCTACAAAACTAAATATATAGCCCTTTAGTGCATCCAATTCAATGGTCAGCACGAGTTTTAGAGAACTTATGCCAAAGAGGTTAATAGTTAACAGAAAAAAGAGAAAAAAACCCAGGGAATTGTGTAGTCATAGGTCTAGATCCTTCAAGTTAAGTTGAAAACTTTTTCAATCATTAAACGGAATAGAGGAGTTAATTGCAAATCAATGCCTATCCTAGAGTCATGCTATAAGTATCTAGTTTGATACAAGCACAAAAATGATATATCAAATAAGGAAAATGCTATTTGGACCTAATTTTGGAATCTAATCTAGGAACCTAATTCAATACAACCATTTGATTGGTTGTGGGCTCCATCTAACATTGAAACTCACAACTAATCTAATGGCTGCATTGAAGCCACTTCATTAGGTCCCCAAATAAGGTCCCTATAGCATTGCTCATCAAATAAATAGCAAAGCCAGTCTCCAGAGAGCATTGGGTGAACTGTACAGGGCTAACTTAAAGATAAGGGTCTGTAGTTTGCACAATAAACCCAGCCCCTGTGGTCAAGTCATCCCAGCACTGTCGGTCACCCTAATCTTACTGGGATGCTGGCTTCTCGCTGTCAATGGGCGGCAGATCGTTCCATCAACCTGAGTCCATCTCATACCTCATCCTTACCCCCAACACATGAAACAGAATAAAAATAGGGCTAACCTTTACAGAAGAACCTTTAAGATCAGAAGCTTGCTTTACAAAAGATGATTTAGAGACTCCCTCAATAAAACTTGGACCCCTAGAGCTGGTTGAGGCCTTTATTGAACTTGTGCAGACATCAGCCATTGGAACATCCTGATCAGAAGCACCAGTTGGCCCATTTTCTTTGGCAGAAACTCTTTCAGAAATATGTTCCAATGCAGAAGCTATATTCTGAAGAAGCCAATCGTGAACTTGTGCTGCAGGAACAGGAGCAGCAGGCATGTCGGGGTCTGAATTTGCAAAAAATGGAGCGTTTTGACTCAATGGAATTCTTGCTGATCCCCTTTCACCAAAATAAATGAGAAATCCGAGGTGCTCAAATTTCTCCATTGTCAACACCTGGCAAAATATGGGTGAGTCAGCATTGTAGGGCAAAGCTTGAGAAATAGTGAGGCATGACTTCCAAGCATAAATAAAGCACTCTAGAGCAACACATCTCACTCTTACTCATGAAGTTAGCTCACTCTAACACAAAGAATCAATTACTTCTAATTTAATCATGCACTGCCATTCCAAAAAGTTTATATAAACAAAACTCCTCTCTAAGAACCTTGCAAAGTCACCTATCAAAGCTTTCTTGTCTACCACAATAATCAATTAAACTAAAACATAGACTTCAACACCCCCCCCCAAAAAAAAACACATCATATCAAACCAATACCTCACCATGCTAGCCATTCCCCTCCACGAAGCAAGTAACCTTTCCCAAACTCTCCCAACTTGCACACTGAATCTTCAGATCATTTAATCTGCTCAATCTTCCAATTTAACTTTTCATATCAGATTCTTATATATTATCAGGTTCAATGATAAATATTGAAGTTTTCCATTCATAAGTTATATGCATAGCACAAAAAATTGACACTATATATTTTATTACAAGAAAATAACCTGACACCAGGTTGCATCAGAAAAGCCGAGTTGCATTGTATGCATCAGTAATGTAACCACCTCTATGCCAGTAAGGCTCACACACAACAAAATTTTTATGTATCCGTCCAGCAGAAAATACGCTATAAATGATCTCATGACCCATATAATTAAGTACAAAAGCTTGAGAAGTATCATGTAGAGGAACAACAAAGAAGTGCATTAGACTTGCAAGAGAACAAAAAGTAATCTAGTGTTTGAGTAAATGAAGTTACTCCTATGTTTTCTTTATCTTCTTGCTTTCAGAGAGCAAAAGATGCCCATCTCCTGTAATTATCAAGACTCTATTCCTAATTTTTAGCATCAACAAATTGAGAGCATGATAANATGTAGAGGAACAACAAAGAAGTGCATTAGACTTGCAAGAGAACAAAAAGTAATCTAGTGTTTGAGTAAATGAAGTTACTCCTATGTTTTCTTTATCTTCTTGCTTTCAGAGAGCAAAAGATGCCCATCTCCTGTAATTATCAAGACTCTATTCGTAATTTTTAGCGTCAACAAATTGAGAGCATGATAAGAATGTACAGTACGCAGGAATTTTTACAAACCAGAGATTCTTCCCCTTCCCCTTCCCCTTCTGCTGAGTCTGACAAAAGAGAGAGAATGTTGCCCAAGTGTTTCTGTAAATACGATAACTGATGAGCCTCTTCATCAGTTTGTGATGGCATAAACCGACGGCTGTTGCTGCGGACAAGCTGCAAGTAGTGGAACACCAAGCTAATGATAAGTTATCACATAATTCTCACAATTAGAAAGTATTGCTAATATCTAATTTAATGCCACTACGAGTTCCTCCAACAAAAACAGTGAATGAAGACAAATTATCCAACTAAAACACAAACGCATATTTCCTTAATGAAAATTGATTGCATCTGGCTTATTAAATTGACTTTACCTGTTCCATTCTGTCTGAAGCTATAAATGAATTGTAGCATATGTAGCACCAAGAAAGTTGAAAAGGCAAATAAGATTTGGACAGAGATTGCCTGACAAACTTATCATGAGATTTCAGTATCTCATTTTTTGCATCCTATAACTTTGACATTAACTACAACCTTTTGCATTACAACAAAACCAATAGCCAGTCTCTCCTTATCATAAGTCATAAACATGCATCAGCAATCCACCATAGCAATGAACAATAAAGACACCAGAATTCAAGCAGATAAAACAATAGATATTCCATTTAAATAATTTTAAGATAATATATGAAAACAAAACCTCTTCAACTACCACACAAAAAACAAGACCCATAATTTTCCAAACCACAAGTCCACTGCCAAAAACAGATTACATTTCAAAGCTACTACTATAAGCATGCTGTAACAAATTGACTCCTTCTACCAAAATAATGCTGATAGGTAGTCAAGATTCCTGACACCATTGTATAATTTCATAAAGAACTAATTCGTAAAGCAACCCATTTCGACAAATGTTTTCCCAATGCCACCAAGTAAACTACTAGACAAATACAGGTGACATTACTATATTTGAAGACCCAAATAACCCATTTATAAACAACTGAATTCCCATCGAAAATGCTACAACAATAAAACATAAATAGACACGAATCACACAACACTTGACATAAAAACCCACGAAAGAGAACAATAAATTAAATAAAGCAAGTAAACCCATTCCATATTTCCACAAAACAACTTCAAAGCAGATCAATTTCTCCCAACTAGCACTTCATTCCATACAATTACCCGAGATTCCATCAAAACTTAGAATTAAAATAGAATTCAAAAAAAAATAATCATCGACATTTTAAAAAATGGTAACCTGCAACGGCGAGAGGGCCGACAAAAACCCATCGAAAGCCGAAGTGGAGGGCCAAACATCGGCGACTGCAGCAGCATCCTTATGACCCCTCGGAAGCAACCTTTTATACGATTGAATATACAAGAACAACACCAAATCAGACACATCAACCCCAACCGACTCAATCTCCGAGGGCTTCGCGGTCACTAATGGGTCCGAATCCGAGTGAAGAACCGACGCGATGGTCTCGATGACGAGGCGGGCATGGTCAAGTGAGATCTGAAGAGTATCCGAGAGTGCCTCCGAGCTGACTCTGTGAGTCGATCCGGACTGAGCAACGAGTTTGTCTTTCAGAGGGGCTAGGGTTTGAGTCCCATCTGCGAAGATGAGCTTTGAAATTGGAATGAGGCCATGTTCGAAGGGCTCTCTACGTGGGTGTATGTATATGGATGGTTGGGTGGGGTTTGAGGTGGTTGTGTTTGATAATGTTGGAGGTTCGAGAGGGTCTGTCATGGCTTTTTAGAGATAGAAGTTGGGGGGTTTTGGAGAGAGAAAGAGAGCGGGGAAGGAAGGAAGCAAGGAACAGATCTTTGGGGATGAATCATGAGGTGAGAGAGAGGGGGGTATCGGATGGGGGTGAGCTCGGACAGCTAGAACAGGTGGCAGAATCCCATTGGCTAGAGGTCCCATGGTGCCTCTGGGCCTAAGGCCATAATTCGGGCCAACCCGTCTTAGTCATCTAGCACAAAGATTCAGGGCCAGTCTCCACACACCCACGGCCCTATCACCTGGTGGGCCAGTCTACCCACTAGTCTGGTGGTCCGTTGGGCCTTTTCCTGACCCTTAAGTATGCCACTAATTTCAATTAAGTCATGAAGTTTAATTTTGTTTCAATTAAGCTCTTCAATTTATTATCCTCCATTTGGTAGAAGAATATAAAATTAGAAGGATTAAAAATAGGATGGATAGATAGAACATCAAACTTTGCTAAGAAAGAAAATCGAAAGAAATAAAATGTAGAGTAATTAGCCTTTCTTGCAATTCATTAAAATCTATCCTCCTAAAAGTGGTTGGCAAATAGAAGAAAATTTAATTATGGATTAAAAAAAAAAGATCAGAACATGGAAATAGATCTGATGTCAATATGGACTACCCATTTTAATTATTGTGTTTTCTAAATTGTATAAATATAAAAGGGTTGAAGTTTTGATCGATATTTGCGGAGTTATTATCCCTCTCAAAAATAAAAATTTGAAGTGGTCTATAATTTTCTGAGTACTCGGTATAACTCATGCATTCGAGTATAAACCAGTGTAAACAAAGTAATACAAATATCTCTGGTAGTCAATCTATTTTCATCAACCACCCAGTGGGAACGGGAAGTTTTGGATATGTTTTGTGTTTCTTCCATCAATCATCCAGATCTACGTCGTATATTAACAAATTATATTAAAATGTAGGTTATTTACATTTGTACCACTTAAAATATGCATATTTATTCTATTTATCTTATTAAATATTTTGGATATATTAAATTTATGTGTGAATATAATGGTTCAATACTGTGTTTACTTTTTCCTTCATACCACTCTTTTATCTACTAGTTGGTATACATATGCGTTGCACATGTGCAATTTAAAAATATAAAGTTTATTTTATTTTCAATAGGAACTATAAATGTGTTTTAATTTTAAAATTTTCTTACAATTTTTAGTTATTAGAGCACTCTAGACCACAAACAAATTGTGAAACCAATGATGGTGGGTAAAACAAAAATAAAATAGAAATAGAAATATTTAAAAAATTAAAACTCTGAGGAATGTTATTTTTTGGGAAATATCGGATGAGTCCTAGTTTTCATAACAGAAAGCCATTAAGTCCTAGAAAGTTTCTTTTAGGACAATAAATTCCTATTTTTTATAATTTATTCAAAGTTAATTCGATACTCTATCAATTATCTTTATTTCAATTTTACTCTTTCTCATTAAATCATCAATTACAGTTTTGCTCATAATTTTTTCATTAAGCAATAACTATACTATTGTTCATAATTTTTAATAAATTTCAATGTAGCTAAAAATTAGAAAGTAAATATAATGATTACCTATGATTTTGTACGGTATTTTATAATTTACTTTATGTTTAGTTAAACTTTTGTATCAATTTCTATTTTTTGAAATAAAAATATTCTTTGTTAATCATCCTACTAATGATATAGACTGTATTTCGAATAATTCTTTTGTTTTTTCAATGCATTTTTTAGACACCTAATCCTGTTAGTGATGTATAGGCGAATATTTTATTTATTTATTTATATTTAAAATTAATAATTTTTCATAAGGTGATATTATAATTAAAATCTAATTGGCAACAAAGGAATGATAATAGAATTAGGACTTCTTTCAAAACTATATTGAAAAAGTAAGACTTAGTTGTGCTACTAAAAATTAATAGGGTTAAATGGTTCTTTATCACAAAAGATGACTTCATGGTTATTTTTTCTATTTTTTTTATGTGCAAGTGAGAGGGGGGGGGGGGGAGAGTTATATATAATTGTGAGTCATAATTTGTTTTTTCAAATGTCCATCCAATGTGCTATAAATTCGAATTTTGGGAAAATGTGATCAAATTTTAAACGTTTAAAAAAAGAGATTTTTCAATAAAATCTTTCAGTAGCATGTTTTAGTCTTTTCTTTCACTTACTTAGAAAAAGAGAATCATTCGTTTATTTACAAGATACTATCATCACCTCTTGAACAATTCAAGAATGTTGAGCATAAATGAAGAAGTAAGATGTTTCTAGCGTTATTCGCAATGACCCAACAGCAAGAATGGAGCTCTACCAACTCAGNCTCATTTGCCACCTCTACATATTCGCTTTGTTTCAAATTAGGAATGACAGTGGATTGGGAAAAATGGGTATTCGTTCAAACTCGCTCCGTTTGGATAGGGGATGAATGGTGTTGGATGATAAATGTATACAAGAATACCTGTATAAACCGGTACAGGGATGGACTACCTTTTACCCCCACCCTGCCCCCGAGTACCCGTTATATATATATGTTTAACCCTAACTTACTCCTTCCAATATCAGCCTAAGTCAGTCCGCCTCCACCTTCACTCAGTCTAGTCTAGGGCCTCCACTGAAGAATGAGTGAATGTCTCTCTCCTATCCTACGCAGCTACGCTCTGCACTCTGTCTCTCTCTCTTTCAATCATCTTTCTCTTNAGTTATTTTCTCTCGAACCAAGTTGAGCATGCATGAAGAAGTGAGATGTTTCTCTATTATTTCCCCTAGAGCTCTACCCCAGGATAAAAAGTCCTAATAATATTATTTAAGGATAAACAAGAGAAATAAAAATTTTGAAGAATAATTGACAAAATCAATTTCTCTTACTTTCCACATCTCTTACCTAACACAAATGAGAGAGGAATGTTTATTTCCTTTGAATAAAAAATGTATCATTTTTAATTTATTTTATCCATTTTACCAATCAGACCATTGGTTTATTCCAATGAGAATATTTCCTCTTGTTTGTCAGCTTTTTTAATTGATGTCACTCACATGCAATTGGTGTGATGTAACTGCTACTATGAATATTTTTAGATACTCTCATAAGAAAAATCTTAAATACCTAAATCCTAGTTCACATTTCAAATGTGCAACTTTTGAGTGTTATGTATCTCAAGTGTCTAATATAATTCCTTAGATCAGTCACATGAATCACACTTGGATCACTTCAATTTAATAATTTAATCACATTTGGAATGATGGTGTACACTAAGATAAATTGAAATATTATAGGGTTTCATTGAAAAAAAAAATAAGTTTAAAGGCTTAATTAGAACGAGAAGTAATTGTCCGTGGTTGAAGGTACTATAAAATAAAAAAAATTATTAAAAAAACTGAAAATTAAGTTTATAGGCTTAATTAGAACTAGACGTATAGTTAAATAGGATATATATATATATATATATATATATATATATATATATATATATATATATATATATATATGTGTATATTAAGAGATATATAAGTAAATAATATATATTTTAACGGGCATAATTAACTTTCTTTTCCTTTTTTCTCCCAAATTCGAAAGAATAAACTTTCATGGCTTAGAAAGAAAACTAATTCTTCCGTTTTTCTATCATTGTCATTATCAACATATAGTGTTTTATCCATCCTTTTAACTTTTAATCCTTAAATTATTTTATCATTTCATCTTTCATCACACCAAATAAAATATTATAATTAATTTTTAATGTAATACGTACGTCAGAAGTGACAATTTTAACTTATTACCCATTAATCTGCCCAACCCGCTCATAAATAAATGAGTTGGATAATATGATTCATTTTAATTAAACGGATTAATATGGATTATAAATGGGTACCCACTAAGTTGAGTATTTATCTTTTTATTAAAATAAAATAAGTAATAAAATTAAATAAATATACTAAATACCAAAAAATATACACGCACTATTACACCAAAAAATACACATATACACACTAATACACCAAAAACATACACACACTAACACACAAAACACACAGAGACTAATACACCACCCATGATCTGCATGGTGACCCATGACTCATGGACCAACCCATAGCCCACAATCTACCCCAACCCATTTATGTGTGTATTTTTTTTTATTAAATGTGTTTTAATTTTTGAATTGGTATATGTGTATGTATTTTTGGTGTATTAGCGTGTATTTTAGTGTACTAGAAATGCATCGCGTGCCAATATATATGTGTATGTATTTTTGGTGTATTAGTGTGTATTTTAATATGTCTACCTATATTAAATAGCATCTCAAGTTTACAAAACTTATATTTTTATCGCTCATATTATACTATAAAAATTATGAACATTTTGTCTATTACCAGTGTGTGTTTGTTTGTATTTTAGTGTACTACAAATGTGTGTGTGTGTGTGTGTGTGTTTTGATGTACTAATGTGTCTATTAAAATTTTTAATTATTTTATAGTTTAATGAGTTTAACCCAACATGTTATAAACTTAACTCATTATAACCTATTTATTACGTGAGTGAAAAATGAATTCGATTTATTTTAGTTCAACCTAATTTAATCCAACTCATAACCAACTCAACTCACTCATTTGCCACCTCTACATATTCGCTTTGTTTCAAATTAGGAATGACAGTGGATTGGGAAAAATGGGTATTCGTTCAAACTCGCTCCGTTTGGATAGGGGATGAATGGTGTTGGATGATAAATGTATACAAGAATACCTGTATAAACCGGTACAGGGATGGACTACCTTTTACCCCCACCCTGCCCCCGAGTACCCGTTATATATATATGTTTAACCCTAACTTACTCCTTCCAATATCAGCCTAAGTCAGTCCGCCTCCACCTTCACTCAGTCTAGTCTAGGGCCTCCACTGAAGAATGAGTGAATGTCTCTCTCCTATCCTACGCAGCTACGCTCTGCACTCTGTCTCTCTCTCTTTCAATCATCTTTCTCTTCATTATCCTTCTCTCCATCGTCTCTCTTCACTTTCGACTGTCGACTGAGCATTAAGTCTCTCTCTCTACCAATCAGCTACTTTTGACCCATCATAAATCTGAATCTCTCTCGTCTTCCATTTTGTTTTTTCCTTTATTTAGGATTTATGTTTTGTGTCTGTGTATTACGAATGATTTTTAAGTATATAATTTGAATTTGGTGTGCTAGTGATGAGCGAATAATATTTGCTACTCTTGATGGGTTTTTCTCAAATCCCATCTGAGGATTCCTATCCACCAAGATCTTTGAGGCCGCCTCTTGAAATTTTCTTGGTTATGTATTTGATTGTTGTTCTTATATTTATCTTTTTGTTGAGTTTTGTTTTGGTTACTCAATGGCGGTAATGTTTTTGGGTTTGATAAGTCTATCACTTTGATCCAGAGATCAAAACACTAACGATAATTGCAGAAAAGTTTATTCAGTACAAATATTCAAATAGTATTTTGGACATTTGTTATTTGTGTTATGTTGAAATATATTATTCTACATTATGTTGTGTTAAATTATTCAGAATGTTGTTGAATTATTTAAAATGTTGAATTTATTTAGAATTTTTGATTATATTGACTTGAGCTTGAGCTTAGACAGGTACGGAGGAAGCGGGGATGAGGGCGGATATTAGAAAATTATCCGCGGATAGGGATGAAGATAGAAACTATATTCATTAATGGAGGTGGACTGGAGATGAACAAAGTTTTTTTAAGCGGGTACGGGGATAAAAATTACACCCCCTCCCCCGCTTCGATCTACTGACATTCCTATTTCAAAATCTTAGCAATCTCGGAGTTAGATTATGAAGAATTTATCTCTCATGAATATCTAATCCTGGTGTAAATGACATACACTTGATCAGATCGAAAAGAGTATTAGTTAAGGTGCATGTAAGCTAAAAATAATATAATACATGTGTTTTGTTTCGAATCTTAACAATTCTTGAAAGTTAGGTTGTGAGAAATTTATCCCTCATGAATACTCTAATTTCGGTGTGGATGACATGCCTTTGATCAGACCGAAAAAAATATTAGTCAAGATACATATAAACTGACCCGAACAACTCTAATCATTAAAAAAAAAAATTGTATCAAAACACTTGTTAAATTTTGCTTACACATGGGGGATTAGAGAAAAAAACAGTGGAAACATTGCCTTTTTTTAACTGTGTAAATGGGACACTACGACAGCAACACCAAACACCACCGTCTAAACAACCTCCCATCCATTGCTTTGGATCCTTCTTTCTCTTTCTCTTTCTAGACTAGACGGTACAAAGGATGGGGTCCAATAAAAGCAAAAGAATTTCGTATCAATCAAGTAACTTTAGCTTGTATTCTCGTGTGAACCCACATATAAATGAGTAAATATCAGATACACCCCTAAGGTTTCACATAATAGAAATTATTTCTACCGCTTTTCTAAAAAAAATATATATATAATATTTTTCCACTAGCGATAGTTCATTCGACGTTATCAAATAGATTCATCAAACGATCATTAACATCTTTCTTTAAACCATTTATATTGATATTTTTTTTCCTCAAATTTATTACTTTTCACTTATGTTATACCGTACCTTCAAGCACGAGTTATCCCTGATATGTGTATGTATATATATAATAAGATAGATAAGTTTTCGAACTTATAGAGATATATATTTTTTCTCCTAAATTTTACGCACCCAACACACTTTTTCTTCCAAATTTCACAAATTCAACACACACGTGCACACGCGCGCACGCGCATACACATACACATTATATACACACTCTAGCTATACACACACTCTAATACATATATAGTGTTATAACTTAGTGTGCAGTGACTTTAGTCACGAAATATCACTAGTGTATTTATATATATATATTTAGCAAGGTGGTTTTCTTCCTTTATCTTTATTTTTAAATTCCAAAAAATAGACAGTTGTTACCCGTTAATGCATAAATATGAGTGAGGACTACCAAAATTGCAATTGTAGATTTTAAAGTCGGGGGGCAGATTTAGATCCTGCCGTTCCCCTTTTCTGTAATAATGCTCGACTAAAAATCAATATTTGGTTAATATATTTTTAAGATTTATATAAAAATGTTTTTAGTAATAACAAAACTATGCATTATACGAATAACTTGGGCAGGCATCAAACATCTTTAAACATGTTTGTCACCATCTATAAGCTATTTAGCCTATTTATATAAATCTGCAAGAAATGACCGAATCGACTTAATAATTCTTGAATGAATCTCACTAAATTTTTAGGGGTAGTTTAATAATCAAGTCTGCCTACTTACTAATAAGATGTTACAGATTCGAGTTATGGTAATCGACTCGGAGTTGAGTCTTATTAAATTAGATTTTTTTTTTTGCGACATTAAGAAACTAAATTTGAATTTCTTTTCTGGTTATTTTATTTTATTATTTTTATAATTAATAATTACAAATAAACCAAAGCTCAATATTATGACTAAAAATTATGTTTAATACAAAAAGAGATTTTTTTGATACCACTAAATTAGTCTGAATTAATTTTGATATTTGGAAACTCCGGGAATTACGGCTTTTGCACGTGCGAACGCCGACCATAGTCCTCGCACGCGTGAGTTTGGGTACCCCAGGCTTATGCAGCAGAGACAAACACAGAACAAAAGGCAAGAGAGAGACAGAGCCCACACACATACACACACACAGAGCAGTAGGTCCGGTGTATTCTCTCTCAGATTCATCAGACCCTCCGACCTCCCTTCCCTTTTCTCTCTCTACAAACACTCTGCCTCCACTTTTTCTCGCTCCAGACCTTACTAGTAATTCTCTTTCTCTCTCTTCCCTTCATTTGATACCCGAAAAGGAATAAGAACTCCATTGTTTCAATCTTTTTAGACCTTATCAACAATAGGATCCTTGAACCCACAAGGTATATACATCTCTCTCTCTCTCTCTCTCTCTCTCCCTCCAGGTATATGTTGTATTTTTGGCCATGGATATGACGGTAATGCATTTTAATATAGATACATCCGTTGATGTTTGATTTTTGTTGGGTTTTTATGATATTTAATGTGCTTTAGCTTTGCACATCTAAAGCTTCGGTTTCTCATCGTCTCTTGCTCCATTTTTTTCCCTTTTTTCTTCTGTATATAAAAAGAGATTATTTGGGTGTTTTGCTTTAAAACGTTTTGTTGACTAGTTTGTGCAGATTGTTCAATTTTATGCTTAAATTTTTATATTAGAGCTCTGATTTTTCATTGTCCATAATATATATTTATAATTTTCTTTTTTGTTGCTTTTGTTGAAGCTTTTTGATGTACTGTTTGTGTAAGGTTGTACTCTGTTTGTGATGTTTAACTTAAGCATTAAGCTCTTTTTGTTTGTTTGCTTTTTTTTGCTTTGTTTTTCAGGTTTGAGGCATTCAGATCTGAAGCTTTGAACGAAGTTTTTGGGTTTTTGCGACGATGGGTAATAAGGTTATTTTCCACTTTGAGCCTCTTAGCTTTTCATGAGACCATGATCTAGCGTTCTAGCTGCGTTTTAAGTTCAACCCTTGTCGGTTCATCTCTCTCTGCTATATATACGTTCTGTTACTTATTCTAGTCTCAGTTTTGGCATATAACGTTCCTTATATTTAGCTTACTCTGAGATTGCTTTTGACTGGTAAAGACTATATAGAACTTGTATTCCGATGCATAAGGGTTTTGGGAACTTCTGATTTTTGAACGTCTATTTCCTTGATCGTGGGTTTAACTCCAATTTTGAGCTTCAAGATCAACTTCTCCGTTTTGGGTATCGGCTGTTTGAGAAAAAAACAAAACTGAGAAAATGCATAGACCTCCACCGGAAGATTATTCCCTAAAGGAGACCAAACCCCACCTTGGTGGTGGGAAGGTCACCCGGGATAAGCTCCCGAGTACGTATGACCTTGTCGAGCAAATGCAATACCTTTATGTTCGGGTGGTTAAAGCTAAAGAACTACCAGCGAAGGATGTTACCGGTAGTTGTGACCCTTATGTTGAAATTAAGCTTGGAAACTATAAGGGTACAACTAGGCATTTTGAGAAAAAAACAAATCCTGAATGGAATCAGGTATTTGCTTTCTCCAAAGATCGTATTCAGGCATTTGTACTTGAGGTCACTGTGAAAGATAAGGATTTTGTGAAGGATGATTTCATTGGTCAGGTTTTGTTTGACCTCCATGAGATCCCAAAACGGGTTCCACCGGATAGTCCTCTGGCACCGCAATGGTACAGGTTGGAAGATAGGAAGCGGGATAAGGTTAGGGGAGAACTGATGTTGGCTGTTTGGATGGGTACCCAAGCTGATGAAGCATTTCCTGAAGCGTGGCATTCAGATGCCGCAACTGTTAGTGATGCTGATGGTCTTGCCAGCATTCGGTCGAAGGTATATCTGTCTCCTAAGCTTTGGTATTTGAGAGTGAATGTCATTGAAGCTCAGGACTTGCAACCTGGTGACAGGAGTAGGCCCCCTGAAGTTTTTGTGAGGGCAGTCCTTGGGAATCAGGCTCTGAGGACTAGAGTTTCTATGAACAGAACTATAAACCCAATGTGGAATGAGGATTTAATGTTTGTAGCGGCAGAACCATTTGAGGAACCATTAATTTTGAGTGTGGAAGATAGAGTGGCACCCAATAAGGATGAAGTTTTGGGAAGATGTGCAATTCCTTTACAATATGTGGACAGAAGGCTGGATCATAAACCTTTGAATACTAGGTGGTTTAATCTCGAGAAACATGTTGTTGTTGAGGGGGAAAAAAAAAAGGAAGTAAAGTTTGCCAGCAGGATTCATATGAGAATTTGTTTGGAAGGTGGTTATCATGTTCTGGATGAATCGACTCACTACAGTAGTGATCTCAGGCCAACAGCAAAACAGTTGTGGAAGTCTAGCATTGGTGTTCTTGAATTGGGTATTTTGAATGCACACGGGCTGTCACCTGTGAAGACAAAAGATGGACATGCTGCAACAGATGCTTATTGTGTGGCCAAATATGGGCAGAAGTGGGTGCGGACAAGGACGATTATAAATAGCTTTGCCCCTAAATGGAATGAGCAGTACACTTGGGAGGTTTTCGATCCCTGTACTGTTGTAACCATTGGGGTTTTTGATAACTGTCATTTGCATGGAGATAAGTCTGGAGGGGCAAGGGATTTGAGGATTGGAAAGGTCAGGATTCGTCTTTCAACTCTTGAAACAGATCGTGTTTACACGCATTCGTATCCACTTTTGGTTTTAGAACCTAATGGGGTGAAGAAGATGGGTGAAATACACTTGGCTGTGAGGTTTACTTGTTCATCGTTATTGAATATGATGCATATGTACTCACAACCGTTGTTGCCCAAGATGCACTACATTCATCCATTAACTGTTAGTCAGCTTGACAGCTTGAGGCACCAGGCCACACAGATTGTATCCATGAGGCTCAGTCGTGCTGAGCCACCATTGAGAAAGGAGGTTGTGGAGTATATGTTGGACGTGGGGTCTCACATGTGGAGTATGAGGAGAAGCAAAGCTAATTTCTTCAGAATTATGGGAGTTTTTGGTGGGATTCTTGCTGTTGGGAAATGGTTTGATCAGATATGCCATTGGAAGAACCCCATTACCACAGTTCTGATTCACATTTTGTTCTTAATACTGGTTTTGTATCCAGAGCTTATTCTGCCCACCATTTTCCTCTACCTTTTCTTGATTGGAGTTTGGTACTACAGGTGGAGGCCAAGGTATCCTCCTCACATGGACACACGTCTCTCTTGTGCTGATAATGCACATCCTGATGAATTAGATGAAGAATTTGATACGTTCCCTACCTCTCGCCCTGCTGATATTGTAAGGATGAGATATGATCGTCTGAGAAGTATTGCAGGGAGGATTCAGACTGTGGTTGGTGACTTGGCGACTCAAGGGGAGAGGCTGCAGTCTCTGTTGAGCTGGAGAGACCCGAGGGCTACAGCTCTGTTTGTGATTTTCTGTTTAGTTGCTGCCATTGTTCTTTATGTGACACCTTTCCAAGTTGTGGCTCTTCTGGCAGGATTTTATGTGTTAAGACATCCAAGGTTTCGTCACAAGCTTCCTTCAGTGCCGCTCAATTTCTTCAGGAGATTGCCAGCAAGAACTGACTGCATGCTATGAGCAAAGCTACAAGCTCTCATTTCCTTTGATCGTCTCATATTGGTTCTCTGCCAATGCCTTTTTGGTCATTGAAGACTATGTATAAACAAATGGAGCTCGTTCACTGTCTTTCACAAAGTGGTGAATGTTGGGTCCTGGTATGAAGTGCAAGATCTCTCATTAAACTGGTAGATTTTGTGGATGTGCTGTTTATTTATGCCTTAGAGAGTATTTCTGTTTAAGAGTCGACTCTCTGACAACTGTTCTATGCTCTTTTGTATTGATGTAGTTGTGATTTGAATTTAATCCTTCTTAGGCGATTCTCTATCCTTAAATGTTACTAGTAGGTTTCTTTGATGGGTTTGGACTAATAATTTATGTTGAATATTGATTAGTATTGCTCTAAACTTCTCCCCGATGCTATGTTAAACTTGAGATGCAATGAATTTCAGACTTTTCTATCTAATGGAAGTTTGACCTGTCTGGCATAGTGGCTTGAGTAATTAGTTTTTATACTTTTTAAGTAGGGCTGTCTGATTGATTTATTACTTTGATACTCCAAAACAAACAATGTGGTATGAATATTCTCACATGGTATGATCATATGGGACCAGTTGGTTGTTGTTAAAGCAATTGATATCCCTCCACCCTTGATAGTACTGTTGAAGTGAAAGGCGGACAACCATTTTATAATGGGTGAACAGACCAATAAATATTCTATAGTGCCATGATTTCTTGCTAGTTTGGTATTACTTATAGTTGAAGCATTTTGCTTTCTCTTGTTTGTTAGATTAGCTGTTTGAAATGTCATGACAATGATTTGTTAGTTAGATCATTTTCCGTCTTGTTTCTGGCGTTATGCTTTCATATGTGAAGCTATTGTTAGATTACTTGGTCAAGTATCAGACAATGGGGGGACTGACGTAGACATCCAACCAAAAATTTTTATTCAGTATTCATTTGGATACCAGTACTAGTAGAAGATACACTGTTGTGAGAGGGGATTGATTAGATAAATGTGGTTTTGCTTCTTCGCTAACGATGAATCTAGGGGCGGAGGACGTGATAGTCCCCCTGGGTTTAGGCTATCCTATGATACGATAAGAAATGTAGTGAATGATTCTTGTAATTGTGGGTATGTCTTCTCCAAACTTGAGATCTCCTGTTGGCAATAGGGGCAGTCTCGATCCCTGCACCACTCTTTAAAGTTTCCTTCTGTGTGTAATTAATTGGTAAAGTGAAGCAACTATGGTTGGGCCAACATTCACAGATTTCTTTTACTTTTTAACTCGAGAGATGGTAAAGATTCTAAAGTTGAAAGTGGTCACCCATTTTTTTTGTATAGAATTCTGTGGTCGTTTCTGAGGGTGTGTAGAACTGGGGCCTGGTGGTGTGGCTATTTTCATGCTTTGCAGCTGTAACCAAGTACTTCAATGGCCTTGACAATGTCTGTCTCTGTGTGTGTGTGTGTGTGCGTGTGAGAGAGAGAGTGAGGGAGAGAGGGTTTTTTTTTCTGGGGGGGGGGTCCAAGACAGTGCTTGGGTGGTGTGCAGTGTGTAGGAATTGTGTCTCTTGTTTTACTTGGGTCACAAGGGTTGGAGGTTTAAATATCAAATTTATAGTAAGGAAAATGCTAATCCAAATTTTACCTTGGACTTAATTTGGGGGACCTAATTCAATACTATCATTGGATTAAAAGTGAGTTGTATCTAACATCGCAAATCACAACCTAATTTAATGTTTTTTTTTTAAAATTAATATGGGAATCAAGTCTTCTTAAAAAGCATAACTAACATTGTTAAGCATTTTGACTTGACATAGTGACCCATTGATAAAGGCTCATTTCCTGTTTGCATGAGATTGCGGGTTCAAACCTAATCTTTTCTCTCCTCTCTTTCCCCCACAAAAAAAAAAATAATGTAACGTTGAAGAATTATCTTAAAGTAACACAGGTTGATGCTGATTTATAGCTAATTAAAAGACATTATCTTTCTTTAATTAATGGGCTTGTCTCTTGGGATAAAACGCAATTATGTGTCTTACATTAGTACTAATAATGCAGGATTAAAAGTCCAATAATGGAAAGTTGAATGTTATGTGTTTTAAACAATGTTTGTTCGTACGTTTTGGAACATTGGTTCAATGTGGTTTTTATGTTTCCTTTTAATGGATTTGCATCACGGGACATGCACGTGAGGGGTTAATGGTGAAAGTAATCTTTGAAAGGCAACCCATTTTTCCAACATTAATATATTAAAAAATTAATTAACAATCCCAATTGTCCCAATTTGTTTTTCCTTGTCTATTTTTTTCTCTATTTCTTGCTCTTCTACATGGCCTCCTACAATCGAACACCACCCCACCCACCGATCTCTCTCTCTCTCTCTCTCTCTCTCTCTCTCTCTCTCTCTCTCTCTCTCTCTCNGTAGCTCTTTGACCAAAATTTCAGTAAAAATTTGGTCAAGAGTTACTAAATTATATTTTTGCCCATATTTAGATATCACATGACAAATTTATGACAAAAAAATTGTTAACAATTTGGATATTGTTTGTTTGACGGATTACATAGAAAAATATTCAATATTTTAGAAATTAAAATGATGTAATTGAAAGATTGAAGACTAAAATGAGACAAACTCCATATTTTCGAGACCTCTAGTGCAATTAGCCGTTCTTTTAATTTTGGAGAAATATTTTTTAAGATATATTATATCCATTTGCCCCTCATGTACTAGCACGTGGTGCAGATTTCCTCACTAAATTATACTGAAAGGAACTGAAGGGTTATACTAAACCTATGTTGAAAAAAAAAAAAAGACTAGGGTCATAGTCTAATACGAGTGGTCATTTAACCTAATTTACAAAGACCAAGAGGTAGTCCTATTTGGACAAAGTTACACAATTTGATTTTGGGACCAATTAGAAATTAAGTTTTTTCAACGGTTATAAGGTTAAGTTAAAATTCAAACGCGTTAGTTTACAACTTATTAAGATCAATTTGGTATCGACCCTAAACACCTGAATCGATCCACCTTTTTAAATGCCTTTATGTAGTAACTTTAACGTCATTAAAATGTAACTTGATCTCATTGGATTATAATATTTTTCAGTATGGTAGAATTTTTTTTTTTTTGGGAATCGTATGTTTTTTCTAAAAATAATGTTATCCTAAATTTAGGGCAAATGTGAGACTTGATTATAGGACTGATAATCAAACTGAACTTGTCGAGTTCATTTGTCTAAATTAGTTTAAAAAATTATTCAAAGTTGGGCTCTTTTGAAAAATGAATTAAGCCTGAATTTAACCCAAAACAAGTCGAACTCAAGTAACTTGACTATTTTTTATATAAACACGTCGAGCTTTGCAAGCTTGAGCGGAGCAAAAAAATGAGTTTAAAAAATTGTTCAAACTCAACTTATTTAGAAAATAAGTTGAGCATGAACTGAGCCAAAAACAAACCAAATTCAAACCGAACTCAATTATCAGCCCTAGTCCTGAATGTGACTTGATAAATTGGATAGTGTAGAAAAATGAATTTGACAGTAAATTCTTCAACTTATATGTAGTTTGTCAACAAGCTAACTTTAGTCAAGCCATGCATCGACAACTTGTCAAGCAAAGCCTAGTCAATCAAGGCAGCCAACCAAAGCCTTTTCGCCTGTTTGGTATGTGGGACGAGGGGGAATTTAGAAGATAAGACGGGGAATATAAGTCTACAAAATCTAGCAAACTTATGTTTAACAACTAAATTTCTAGTCTAGGTTACCTAGTCCAGCCCGCAGTTTAAACCCAAGTTCATGGATTTCATGAAGTCTGATGGGGGTGGGTTTCAGATGAGGGTTAAACATACAAAATGACATTTATACCTTATATAACCCATACCCCAAATAATCAAATAATCAAATATTTACACTCCAAATAATCAAATAATCAAATATTTACACCCCAAATAATTAAATATTAAAATATTAAAATAATCAAATATTTATACCCCAAATAATCAAATATTAAAATCATAACGACACAAAAAAATGTACATATACAAACATGAGTTTGAATTAAAATGGTTAAGACACATAATAGTCATTTATATACAAATATATTATCATAATAGTGATATATTCGTGCGCATGCCAAATATAGGTATGAACAAGATTTAATGTTGAATTCTACTTTTATAAATAGGAGTTTGAGTTTGGATAAATCAATCTAAACCCCTCCCAAAAAACCAAACCAAACCAAACGGACGCCTGAGGTGCAGCTTTTCAGTTGTTGGACTGGTTCGGAAATGGCTTCTTACAAAGTGGTGTAGGGCAAGAAATTGGTTGGAATGATGAATTGATATAGCCAAACTTGACATTGTTTTCAGTCCAAAATTCACTCGGAAAATCGCGTTTGTTTTGAATTCTCATAAATTTCTTCTTCTTTTTTTTTTTAATTTATAAATAACATGATTTGTGTAAATCAGATCTCTCCTTCATATACAAGCACGATCCAAACATCCCACACAAATTTAATGAACTAGTTGTTTTACAACAATGATTTAATTAATACCAACACATTCGTCCACACATCTCTTACCAATTTAATGAATAGGTCGTTTTAGGTTAAACTGATTCTATCGTTTGAAAGATTGCAAATATCATATTCACAAGCGAAGAAATATAAAGAAAAATCATGCGTGCGTGCGCGCACGCGCACACACACCCGGAGAGAGAAATATGTAAAGATTTGGTAGATCCATAAGTTATATTTGTACTTTGAGTTATTACTACAACAAAAAATATTTTTTACAACGATATTTTTCGTTGTTAAATAAAAAAAAATTGTCTCTATTTATTTTTTGCGATATTTTTTTTTCGTTACGTGTTCGTCACAATAGCCTTGTCGTAGAAAGTATTTTGCGACAAATTTTATTTTCATCGCAAAAAAAAAGTTTTTGCGACGAAAAACAAAAGTGGCAAAAATTTAAAAAACGCAGTTAAAATCTCTTCCACCAGCGTAAAAAAAATAAAAAATAATAATTTAATTAATTTTTTCTGACTCAAAAAAATCGCTGCAAATTTTTTTTTCTTAAATCAAAAAAATGTAAACACATTTGCGAATTAAAAAAAATCATTGCGATATGGTTTAATCCAAAAAAAATTGAATAAATACATTTGCGACTTAAAAAAAACGTCGTTAAAATATTTGAACCAAAAACTGGTACAGAATTTTGCGATGATTAATTCGTAAAAAAGATTGTTCCAACAAATTTTCGCGATGATTTTAATTTTGTTGCCAAAAAGTTTATTTTTTTTTAAATAACCCTTCATAAAAAATGGTATTCCAATAAAAAATGTCACTTGTACACCACTAATACCTGTGTTCAATAAAAAACTAACACAATTAATATATTTCACTTCTTTTCCATTCAACAACCAACACAAACTAACATCAAATACCATACTA